TTCTCCGCCTCCTATCTTTTTTTTGGTGTTTTTCGGCCCATCACACACTCTTCCACTTCAACCCCACCCCCCCCCCCCCCCGCCCCACTCCCCCCCCCCCCCCCCCCCCCCCCCCGGAGAGTACGTAGATTACCCCATCGGAGGAGGCGAGTTGCGAGACGCAATGTGGGGATGACTGATAGCAGGCTGGGCTCAACAGGACCACCCCGTTAGCCAGAGAACTGTCTCGACCGCTCGGAGCTCCGTCGCTCTGGCAAGGTGCTCTGCAGGAACGACTCTGCTGGTAGCTGGGAGATGTGTGAGCGCAGCTGTGGCTTGTTCTCAGACTGTCGATCGTTTCCCGTCACGATTCGCTATTCACATTGGTGATGCCCGGCCAGGATGTTTGGCAGCTGACCATATTGCGGGTTGTAAGTCTGAATCAAAGGCTGGCACCTTGCGCAGATCAGCTCGGGGGTTTCGAGGCTTAATTAGATGAGCTAAGTGATGGTTCATCGAAAGAGAATGTGACAGGTCAGCCAGCCAGTATGCTGAGTTGCTGATCTGATGTCGCAGCATACCTACCCTGTAGCTTTAGAGGTCCCACTCTGCGGTTCCTGCCGCTGTTTCAGCAGCAATCCAACGCAACTTCCCTCAGGCAACTGTCGTCCATCGTCGTCGTCAGCCAAGAAGCCTGATCACGTAAGAGACATGCGGCTCCATGTACCACCAGCCGTCGGCCAGGAATCCATCTCCTAACTCTCGCGACAGACCGAGTGATGTGCAGTGCAGCGCAGTGCAGCGCAGCATCACCTACGCAGGCCTCGCTTACTACTGCACGCTCAGATACATCGACTCTTTCTGATTCTCGCGGATGTGCGACGGGTGGTTGGAGACGTGCATGAGCCGGTGCGCCGAGTCCAGTTGCTTGCTTACCAGCCTTCCGCTACAAGTTCATGCTTGGTAAATGGATACATCGCAAAAGCAAGAAGCAAGTACGGACAATTAGAGGAGTGTATGCTTTGATGTGCGTCTTTGTGCCTCGTCACTGCGTCCGTCCGTACAGCCGCCCGGACGCCTCTATGTACGTACGCATCCCGAAGCAGACGGTCGCATTAGAGTGTTGGGACACGGCAAGGACTGGATCCCTCGTGAAGTATCTGTTCTCGATCTTCACTAGGTCAAGGGTCCATGACTCCATCAGCATACAGACGATATGGCTTCGCTGCTGCCCTCGTACGCAGAGGCGACGACACGCCCCGACTGGGTGCCCGTGATCGCACCGTACGTCGACTTCCCAGACTATCACGCCCTGTGTCTCGTCAGCAGGCGATTCTGGGCGACCTTTGCCCCGCGATTGTGGAGGGACCTCCTCATCTCTGTGCGCCGGGCTGGCGTTGATCCGAGCGATGGTATGTCCGTCCGACTTCTTTGCTTCTTTCACTTCATCCATCCACCCTCCCGGCATGGAGCGGTCTTGACGGCATTGATGACGGCTACAATGGGAATACGCATCTTTTTGCGCGTCCGGATTATGAATTGAATGAGAGTATACTGACGCCATTGAGTAGATCTGGTCTGGTGGTTTGATTTCGTCTTTGTGCGTCTGCACCATGTGCGGGCATCGACCCGCCAGCTCGTGAGGGTACTCGATATGCGTCATTTTGCCCAAGATGCACACGACTTTGCATCGGACGAGACGGAGAGAACACTGGGACGCAGCTTGGAGAAGGCGTTGGAGGGGCTGCCCAATGTCGAGACCGTCTTGCTGGATGGCCACGAGACCCTCGATCCCAGGCTTCTGCAAAGTGATAGCCACAACGGTCGTCTCAAGGTGCTCAGTGTGGCTGACCTGCCGTTCAAGTTGATCCCATCCGGGTTGGCTTTTGAGACATTCAAAAATTTGGTCTATCTTGACGTATCTGGCATTCCTGGACCGGTAGTTGTGCAGCATGAGAGCAATTTCCTGCAGCGTGCTCACCAGCCACACCTACGCATACTCAAGGTCCGTGGACGCGAAGTCGACAATGCCGCGCTCACAATACTCCTCCGTGGCTTTGGAAGACAGCTGTGGAGTTTGGACGTGGGCGACAATCGCATCACTGACGACGCCGTTGAAGATGCACTTTGTGCACATATTCCAACAGGGTCATTGCGGGCATCCGCCTCCTCGCGTGCTGACGCAGAGGGCAGAGTGGCGCCACACGCGGCGTACTCATCCACGTACGACACGAATCTGAACGCTGGCGCCGATGGCTATGGTGCCTTCTACACAATCGAGGAATCTCACAATAGTGTCGATTTCAGTCATCCCGAGAGATACTTTGGTGATGCGCCAACATATCCACCCCCAGCGCAGGGCTCACACGACCATGGCGAAGCCCCTCCAGTCTACTCGCAAACCGTCGATGCACTGGGAGATACGTCCGCCCTCCAGAGGGCTGATGGGCTACAAGTGCCCAAGCTAGACAACGCCGATGGGGCCAGTGCCATTCTCCAGCAAGACGCAAACACCATTGAGAACTATCTCGGTAGCCAAGGACTTACCCACGTGAGCCTCTCCAACACAGGCGTGACAGGCCCCGGTGTTGAGAGGTTGGTGCGCCTCGCCCAGGGCCACATTGAATACCTTGCACATGACTCGATGCCGCTGCTCCGGCGGCGGATCGATAGCTCGCGGCTCTGGCCTAGCGGCGGCTCTTTGCGAGGTATCCTAGGTGGAGCCTACGTATTCCGACCTGTTTTCTCATCCAACCTTCGTTCTCTCAGGATTCACCATTCACTTGTCACTCATATTCCAGACCTGCAACATGAGAATTTTTCCGCGCGCGCCAGTATATACCTGGTGGAGAATCTGATTCTGCCGCGTATCGACACACTCTTCCCCCAGGCCTTTGTCCCAGACATGAATCCTCGACTTACATCAATGACCTTGACCTGCGTACCGCGAAGATCGTCGGGGCCCCTGGTGGAGAGACTAGTGGCTTTCATCAAACTGCTATCTATCCAGGAGCGCAACATTCAGGACACGGCTGTGTGTTGCTCGTCGTCACTACGTGGACCGGGAATGCTCAAGGGTCTGCGACATCTCAGACTAGAGTTTGCGCCAGATCCCATGGAGGAAGATGTGTCGTTAGAGGAAGACGACGAGGGCTTCAGTTTCTTTGACAATACATGGGCGACGGCCGGCACTGAGAGGTCGGGGTCTGGATATGTGCATTCCAGTGCGGATAGGAGTGACTCTGGCGATTCGGTCCGAAATGACGAAGACCGTATTATCCATGAGTGGGACTGGCATCCCCAGTCATCGGCTGGCTCCAAGAGGCACACCCTGAGCTTCAAAGACAAAGTGTGGATTGGCAAAAAGCCGTCGGGACTTGGTGAAGCCATCGACACGTACCGGAGGTTGGTCTTGGAGCGTGGTCTCAGAGAAGGCCTCGGGCCAGCAACGCCGGGCCAAATCAAGACTGGTGTACCTGCGGGCGCTCTGGTCTTCCATACAGCGTGGACTCTGGCCGTCATGCCACCCAGTCTACCAGCACCACCGGTAGCTGCCCTGGCTGGTCAGCAGGACGTGCTATCGGCGCTGAAGCGGTATCGCCTCGACGGACGGCGCAGGTACGCCGACGCGAGACAGCGGGACGGGGCCGTGGTCAGGTTGGGGGCGCCGCATTTCTTCTGGACGGGACAGCTCGAGGTATCGACCTTTGACCCGGCACTGCACTCTCGCCCGCGGTGGCATGATGGCACCAAGTAGGTTGTGTGATGCACCTCGGTGATTCATATGACCGCAATGGCAGCTGGCAGGCCACGCAATCGTACTATGAGCGAGTATTCGCCTATGATCTGAGAAAACACGCTCATTTTCCCGCCAATCCTCGAGTTGGCGAATCTAACGTGGTCTCCAGCGTGCAGGCCCCCGCCTCGGCAGATGTGCCTCCGGGGTCCCCACATTCTACCTCCGGTCAATGACCACGTCGATCCCGCCAGGGGCACCATCGAAGATGACATCTGGACTCGTTTACAAAGAAATTACCCGGACACTGAGGACCTCGAGGCGAAAGTGCCTCGTAGGCGGCCCAATGAAGAACTCGGGAACCTGTTTCCATTGGAAAGACGAGTAGCCACGCACAGGCAAGAGACGTCGTATAAAAGCCTGGGATGAGTCCCAGTGTGGGAGTCTGCCATCGATTGCACCCAGAGATCACATATTCACAACCATACACACCCACCGGCATCATGAAGTCTGTTCTCGCTGCCACCGCACTCGCGTCCCTTGCCGCGGCCTCTCCCGTCTCGAAGAGAGGCACATTCTGCGGGCAATGGGACCTTGAGACCGCGGGTCCCTACACCGTGTACAACAACCTGTGGGGCATGGACAGTGCCGACTCAGGCGAGCAATGCACAACAAACAACGGCCTCTCTGATGACGGCAGCCTGAGCTGGTCTGTCGAGTGGTCGTGGGCGGGTGGACCCAGTTCCGTCAAGTCCTATCCCAATGTTGTCGTTGACGCTGAGCCCAAATCGCTGGGTGAAATCAACAGTATCCAGGCCGAGTGGGACTGGAGGTAAGTCACCCACACAAACATATCTCTGCCGATCATGCCAGAGACTGATGCAATCCATGACAGCTACACGAGCCCCGAGACGTTCACTGCCAATGTGGCCTACGACATCTTCACGGGCGAGACGGCCGACTCAGCGCCCGCCTACGAGTTTATGATCTGGCTCGGTGCCTTTGGCGGAGCCGGACCCATCTCCTCGACCGGCAGCCCCATTGCCACGGTCGACATCCTCGGCCGCTCGTGGAATCTCTTCTACGGCGCCCACTCGCAGATGGAGGTGTTCAGCTTCGTGGCCGCCAGCGGCAACGTCGAGAACTTTAGCGGTGACCTGATGGAGTTTGCCAACTACCTCGTGGCCGAGCAGGGTGTCAGCACCAGCCAAGTCGTGCAGAACGTCGGGGCCGGCACGGAGCCGTTTATCGGGCAGGATGTCGTGTTCACCACCAACAGCTACGCCGCGACCGTTGCATAAGCGTGTGTGTGCATCTCAGTGTGCCGCTGGACGGAAGTAACGTACATATCAGCAGATCATATAGCTCAACATGAATTGCGCAACTGAAATCAACGCGGACACGCCCCAGTGAATCAGCAAACTTGGCGTGCCCCACGACTTCTCCAGGCAACAGATGCCGGGTGAGTAAACTACCGACAGACTGGAACCTACGCAGATCCTCCTGGTCAGTGCGGCCGATGAAAGACACGCGGGCCGATTTGACGTTCACATTTCACGGGAGATGTTGGGGCGTGTGAGACCTGTGGGAGAAGATGTCTGAGTCGTGGACACTACGTACAGGATGGGGAAATAGGTTGGTCTCACAATCATGACCTACTTGTGCGATATGCATGTCACGAGGATGGGCTTGTTGTTCATGAGCAAGTGACAGGTGTGTAGTATTTCAGCGCCCATGATGAGTCGCGAGTGAGCCGCCAGAGCATGGGGTGATTGTGCGTCGCAAAAGTCTGACCAGTATGTGTACCACCATAATAGCAGTCTTGGGCATACATGTTTCACGGAGGCCTGGTGGAACGAGTTTCAGTTGATTTACAGCTCTGTTCAAGATGGGAGAGCTCACTTGTGAAGACGGCCGCTTGTCGTCGGTCTTTGCGCCGGCGGCCTTCTTTTCGGCCATGGCGATGTTGTAGTGCTATGGTAGTACCAAGCCTCGTCATAGCGTCCAGAGGCCAGCTATCATTCCCCGAGGCGCGGCAAGCGTTGTACTACTCAGCAGAGTCAGATTCAAAGGGAGTTCCACGATAAGACAGAATCACAAAGAGCCTAATCCTTCTGACCATCACTGTTTCCAATGAGAAAGAAAAGTGCCCGCAGATGGGAGTCAGCAAAAGAACAAAAAGAACACGAGTGACAAAAGAAAGGGAAATCAGAATGAGTCTGCTGGTGGAGATTGGAGGCTTGACAGCTGCTCAGGATCGGAGACCAGCAACATTGGCTGTCGTAGTGGGCATGGAGATCTTGCCAGCCAGATATGGCGAATATAGCGGATGGCTGACCGATTTGGACACACCTTGATGTTCTCTGGTTCCAAATCCACCCGAGAATGAATTCTAGGAAATTGCACATCATGTGCTGCTAAACTAGACGATGCTTGTCGGTCTGCATATCACTAGCCCCTGATGTTGAGGCTACTGTGCATGAGAGGACCTGCGTTTACGGCACAGCTAGCAACCTGGCCATATGCTTATTACGGAATAAAGGAGAACAAAGTGTGAGAGCAAGGTGATAGTATCAATGGCACTACGTGTTCCATCATATATACAGCTTCTCCACATTGTCCGTGATCCACTGGAAACTATCGTCCCTAAAGTCATCCTTCAAAATGCTGTTGCTGTTGGGCGTCTTCAGCCACAGCAGTTTCCGATCGTTACTGTTGTACTCGGGCCAGGTGGCGTACTTCTCGACACCAGAGTTGGGGTCCTGGTTCAGGACAAAGTTGAGGTAGTACGTGCGACAGCTGCGCGCCGCATTGTTGGGCCAGAGGCCGTAAAAGACCTGCAGCAGATCCGACCCGTGGAACGTACCCATGATGGGCAGGCCGTAGTTGTAGCTGGCGAGGTACGACCAGGCGGGCACGTCCGGGTGGGCGGCCAACGCGGTGTCGAGGAAGACGCGGCGGGTCAGCGTGAAGACGAGATCGCCTAGGATGGCGGCCAGACGCTTGAAGGCGGGATACCAGTTGTTGAAGATGCCGGTGCGGAACGGCGAGCCCTCGGACAGGACGTTGTCGTATGTGTTGACCAGCGTTGTGAGGTCCTGGACGGAGGCGCTGTTGAAGAAGAGCTCGTTGAAGTACCCAGCAAGGTCTGCTGTAGACGACAAGTTGCTCTGAAACAGGGCGAACAGCGTGCCTTCGTCCTCTTGGTCGCCGATGATCATGGGCACGGCGTGGTATCGACCGTTTGCGGCCAGAACATCTGGGCTATCGGGCAGGGCATGGCCATCGGGGCGAGGCAGATAGCTCAACGCCACAGAGCTGTAGGACAACAGTCCGGGCACCGAGTTGGCAGCGTCGAGGAACGTGTCGTAGTCCACCTCGCGCAGACAAGCCAGCGTGTCATCCGCACCCGCGCACCCAGCACGGTCCACGACTTGGTCGTATACCGCCTGACCCTTGGGGCAGTCCACGGGATCGGCGGGCACGATGCTGCCCGAGTTCATGATCGCGCCGCGGAAGAGATCCTTGCCCTTGTACGTGACATCTCCCCCGTACAGGGCCATCTGGTCAAAGACGGAGATGGCCCCAGCCGACTCGCCCCAGATGGTGACCTTGTCAGGGTCGCCGCCGAACGAGGCGATGTTGTCAGCCACCCACTCCAGGCCCATCCTCTGGTCCAGCAGACCCAGATTGGCAGACCCGTCAGCGAGGATCTCGGCGCCAGGCATGAAGCCGAATCCAGCGACGCGGTAGTTGACGGCGACAAAGATGAACTTTTGATCCTGACCACCGCCGAAGCGGATGAGGTCCGTGGCATCGTACATGTTGTTCCCGCCCAGCTCGAAGCCACCGCCAAAGATCCAGAAGAGCACAGGCAGCTTGTCACCCTCCTTGGTGCCCTTGGGTCGCTGGACAGTGATGGACAGGCAGTCCTCCTGCCCCTCCAAGGGCTCGAGAAACGGAATGTCCAACAGCAGACCTAGCGTCTGGCCCAGGAAGTCCCTAGCCTCGCTGGAGACGAACATCTGCGGACAAGCAGGGGCAAGCCCCGAGGCATCAAAGGCATCCAAGGTCGTCTCCAGCCGGACGGGTGGCTTGAGACGGAGCTGTCCTGTTGGAGGCTCGGCAAAGGGGATCCCGCGGAAGGACTCGACATTGAGGAGGGACACGCCGGTGATGGAGCCGGCAGGCGCGTTGACAGTGAGCTTGGCGGCCGTCGCTGCGGCCTGCTCTGCCTCGAGCGCTGCCTTGAGAGCAGGACCTTGCTGATCTGGTGCCCTGGGCACAGGTGCTGGCGCTGGGGGTGCTGCCAAGGCACCGGCAGCCAGCAGGAGGGTCAGGAGCTTCATATTGACAGGATCAAGGAAGCTGCAGAACGAGGTCCTCCTGTGCTATTCTGGAGGCGAAGAAGGGTCAGGTATGTACAAGCGAGTAGTGACCAGGCGTCCAGTTGAGGCTCACAGTGTCCTGTCAAACCGGCATCGTTCCTTTTGTCGATGGGGCCGGGCACTCGACGAGCTTTTATATACCAGCGACGATCGCAATTCTTTTCACCCAGAAAGGAAGAGGCTAGAGCGCGCGCTGGGTGGGTTAGGCCCGACAAGGGAGGGAATTAGATGTCGGTTGACGTATCCACCATGGGGTAAGACGGGGTGGTAGCATCGTGGGCTGCCCAGCTGAGGACCGCGAAGATTAGAGGCTCCTGATGGAAAGTGCCAGATCACATGGCGCCTTGCGTGACAGACTTGACGTCGGACCAGTCCAGGAACACCCTCCGTCGAGGACAAGTCGGACGAATGGGTTGGGTGAGGTCCACGCCGAAGCAGGGATGCGCAATCTCCAGAGCGGGGGAGGGGAAAACCCACGCGTTCATGGTGCCCGATATTGAGTCTGGGGAAATATTCGAAAGCATATGATCGTCAAGGACTGGGAAATTGCCATGTAGGAACAGCTGGAGTGTGATGATAGCCGAGGCATCCCCACGCCTGGAGTATGGGGATGTAACTTGGCATCCATCAACCGCCGCTTTCTCGAAGGAGGTGAGCCAATGCCATTCTTGGCTGTTTTCCCCTCATTTGTCTACCGGCCTTGCATGCAACTAATTCTGGGGATTGTGCGTACGTACGAATACGATGGAGCGCTTTTGCGGGGGCCGGGGATGGCTTTTTGCACTTGGACGCTTTCTGTGCGCGTTTCCGAGCTCCTCACTTAGATGGTCAGATTACATATAGTGTCGGCCATGCTGCCACATGCGGTAAATGGATCGTTTCTTTGGCCTTTGCTACGACAGATATTGCAACGAGTCAGCAATAGTTGCTAGTATGTACTGCTGTCTCGATAGGAGAGTGTCAAGGGTAGGCTGAACCCCCTTTGGCGTGTGTTCATATCAATCACTTTAGTCCTTCGATTCATCTTATTTACATGCTACTAATAAGTCTGATTTTGACTCTTATGAAGGACACAGGCATACAAAGAAGCGGATGCAAATGAACTCTCAAGCAATGCAAGAGCTTTAACCAATGCGCACCTCGTGTTTCCCGAGCCCGAAAGTCCGCTCGTCGTCAGCTGCCCCCCCTTTTCCTCATAAAGTCTCGCAACTTGGGCTATATCTCGAGGCTGTTCACGCATACTTCCATTGGAGGGCATATTCATTTCGGAATCACAAGCTTGTGAATGTGTTCTCTTCATAGAAACACCGAGGTTCTGAGGGTGCGGGCTGCTGCCTTCACCCTCCATCTCCACGTCTGAGCAGGGTGACTGGATTGCATGCCTCGGAGCAAGTCTTATATTCATAATGGTCATCTAACATGTTGCGCTGTTGAATCCATGCCTCATTTGGGCCCCGAACAAAACCCCTCTAACACCATGCCTCTCGTGTCCCATCTCGCCCACTGCTGCTGTTCTTTATAACACCGTCCATGACTGGTAATGCACTGTTACGCTCTCAGACAACCCCGTATATAGTCAAGTCGTGCAGTCAATCAAGCCCCCGAAGATGGTGCAAAACGAGCACGCCAAGCCGCCAGAACGCCCGTGCCCTTGCTCGTCACGTCAGGAACTCGGACCGCTGCGGCTTACACCACCATCTACACCAAGCCCTGCAAGCCCATGTGGCAACGGCGGATCCCCTAGTTGACCACGCCTAATGGGGGCCCCTCGCTCAAACACCGTCTCTTGCTGCCCAAGGCTGGCTCGTCATCTTCATCTTCAGTGTCATCAAAGCTCTGGTTGAGCACTGCACTCAACACATCGCGCTTGCGCTTGGCACGCTGCTCCGAGTCCTCCCCCGAGACGAGACGGATTCGTTGCCATGTCTTCATGTCCTCCGGGTCAAACGGTCCAACGACGTCGTGCCCCAGCGCCTTTCCCATTCGCTCGCGAAGACCGAGAATAGGCCAGATGGGTATTTTCGTGTACTCGATATCAAGTCCAGGTACGTCCCCGTTATCACCAGACGGGTTGGTGAAGGGATGGTGGAAGCGCTGCAGGAACTCGCCCTTGACCGTGGCCGTGTACAAGATGAAGCAAACCTCCTCTATATCGTGGCTGAGCACACGGAGTTTGAGATCGCGGAACTCAATGTTGCGCGAGTACCCCTTGGGCGCGAACCACTTGTGCTCACGATGCGCAGTCCTCGGGTTTGGTCCGTAAAAGTGGCGTTGCGCCATGGCTATAAACATGGCCACGATATGGGGGTCCTGGACAGCGTTCGAGGGACAGAGCATCCTGCTTCGCAGCTCCTGGAGGCGAGCGACAGGTGTGTTCACGAATCCTGATCGTGTGGGGCCCACCCGGAACATGTTGCGCCTCATAGTCGACAGCTGGTCTAGACCAATGTAGCACATCATCGGGCCATCCTCCACGACAGGGATTGGTACGCTATGCTGCGATGCCGAGAAGATGTTGGTCGCTTGTGTCGATGTCGACTTGAATGACTCGGTGTCGGATGAAGTGTCCATGGGGAAGTCCCACATGAGCTGCGCCTTGATGCAGTCGCGGTACGCCTTGCCGCCGCAGTGTATCGCAAGCTCGGGCCGTATCTGCGTGCGGGTGAAAACTTTCGGCCATAGAATGCTGAGGACGCGGTGCGCTAGCACAGAGTTCATGGTGGCCGGTGTAGGTTCGTATGGCTCGAGCATCTGCGTCAGCGACTGCGCTATCGTCCGGATCTCGCCCGAAGGTCGCAGATGGCCGTCTGAAGGTGGTGGTGGTGGGGGCGGAGGCGTGTTGTGCGCGCCCGGTAGATCAGTCAAAGGGCTGGGGGTGGTCGTCGCCTCGAGCTCAGTGAACCGCGCGCCAAGGAGCCTTACGTGATGATCGGTCCAGAAGATCGGCCGCACGTATAGTGATGTCCCTTGATGTCGGTACATGATATCATACAGAGAACCGCGGTCAGGCTGATGGCACGGGCGCAGCTTTCGCCTCTTCAAGGGCCGTGGTTGTGACCCGATGTCGTGAGTAGGCGGCAGCGCGCCCTCTGTGGGCAACGCCGTGGCGAGTGCCGGGTCTATGGGCGTGGCCATGGTAAAGATCGACCGGAGTGAAGCGTAAAGGGACGTTGTTGGCCTGTGTGAACAGAAGTGTCAGCGTGATACTTTATGTGGTTCGAGTGCAAAAGCGCGCCTCCACACACGTCGCAGCCTGGATTATGTAGCAGCGCGAAGGCAGCAACAGTGGATCCCGGCAAAGCCTTGGGCGTGACTGACTGAGAGCGATCGGACATTGACTTGCTGATGGCCGCAAGCACACGGTCATGCGATCAGGGTGGTTCTGTGCAGTGTTCCTCGGATAGTGGCGGGCTTGACAAGGTGGGCAAGCCTGACGAGGCCGATGTAGATCCTCGTGGGGACGGAGAAGGGCCGGGGGTTAATTATACCTTGCACGTTGCGACTAGGCGAAAGTCAAGCGCACGCGAGACAATGAGAATAGCAAGGTGAGAAGTTCCTGGCCTGGGTAATATGGCCAAAGGGCACTTTGCTTGCTCGGCGAGATGTCGATGAGCACAGCAAGATGAAAACGGCGAAGAACAAGTGCGCGGGTGCCCACCTGCACGGTTCGAGGGGGCGCGTTCTTGCCGCCGTCCTCGATCGCGGTCGATGTGCGGTGTCACGTGGCCGTAGGCAGCAACGGAGCGGACAGCCACTTTCGGGTCGACGTGGCGGTGGCGGACTGTGGCTGGCTGCCTAAAGGCTAAATTTTGCGGCCTCGAATATTAGGCACACGTGCACCTCTCTGAATGTGCCCCACATCTGACGACAGCTCGCTGAGCTCTGGCATCGTAGCAGCCATCGCAGCGCAGCACCGCCCCGCCAAAGCACGACGCATCGTGGTCGTGCGCCAACCCATTGATCCAGACAGCTTCACCAAGCATACCCATCTGCTGGTTCAAGATGCCGGTGAGTAGATTGGATTTTCTGATCCCGCCTTGATGATCCGTTCTGGCTTCATCGAGCCAGGCACGGGGCTCGACAGCATAATCCACGACGATGCGAGCCAAAGCTAACATAGCCAGGCCTACAACTCCATCTTCAATGAGGATCCCAATACGCCTCGCCTAGTCGGCAACTTCCCCCTCCTCCCTCTCCGCACAAAGACTCGCGGGCCAGCGTACGCCCTCGCCCCGTCATCGCTGCCGCCCAACGAGTCGCCCGACCCCGATGACGAGAGCTACGACATCCTCGACGAGGTGCTCGCCCTTTTCCGCGCCAACACCTTCTTCCGCAACTTTGAGATCCAGGGACCCGCCGACAGACTGCTGGTATACGGCATCTGGTTCGTGAGCGACTGTCTGAGCAAGATCAAGCCCGGGGCGGACGCGCGGACGGCACAGAAGGATGTCATGAACCTCGCCCTGGACAACAACTTTGCCATTCCCGGGGATCCGGGGTGGCCGCTGAACCAGGTGGGTTCATATTTCTGCCACGGTGTTGAATACATAGGGACAAAGACTGACCAGGGCCACAGATGTACGAACCCCCGCGGGACAGGCAGGACGCAGAGCAGCTCAAGCAGTACATGTCGCAAGTACGCCAGGAGCTCGCCACACGATTACTCGCCCGCGTGTACCACGACGACGAGACGAAACCCAGCAAGTGGTGGCTGAGCTTCACCAAGAGAAAGTTTATGGGCAAGGCGCTGTAGAGTGGGGAGCATTAGCATCGGTGCAGGCGTAGTCGTATACAATGACTCTTATTATATGTACAATTGCTGCCATGCAGTACTGGGTATCCCATCCATCCATCCTCCGCCGTCTAAGCCCCGGCCTTTCTTTTCCTAAAGCGACCGCGGGCCTCGATCTTGCCCTCTACAGGAATAGCCCGCCACGCCGTGAAGATGTAGCCCTCGGCACCACCGCGCTCAGTCATGAGCGGATGCGTGCGCTGAGGCAGGACCTGCCACCGCCGGGCCCGACTGGTCTGGATACTAGCCCCGAGGAGGAGGGTCGGGTTGATGGGAAACTCGTCGTTGCCCTCCCACCGCTCAATCTCGGCCACCGTCTTGCCCTCCGTCTCGGCGGGTGGACTGCTCACCCACGCGGCTCGGCGCGTTATGCTGAAGGCGTCTGCGAGGGCGGCCAGTGGCTCGACAGTTTGCGAGTAGATCGCCACGGGTGCACCGCCCGCGAGGAGTGGTAAGGTGTGTCGGAGGATGGAGATGGGTTCCATGGTGCTGGCGACGGCCAGACCAGCAAAGCCACCTGCGCGGGTCGTGTCGATGATGTGCTTGGTGCGCGCCCATCTTCTGCGTTTCCGGTGATAATTGCCCCTTTGGTTTGTCTTCCACGAGGCCACCGTCTCCGGATCGACTTCGGCAGGCGGGTCGCTGTAGGTTTGATCCAGCTCGGGCGACACGAGCTGCAGCCATGACAGCGACAGCAGATTGCTGTACAGGGGATGGTATGGTGGCGTGGGGTTGATCTCCGTGTTGTCAAAGTCAAAGTAGCGGAGCATGAAGAGGTTGGGTTGTGTATTGTGGTGTAGCACGGTGAGTGTGTTGTTTGGGGCGTACGGGACTTCGAGGTCGTTGAGGCGCCGCCTCTTCGGCTTCTGGGTTGGTTGTCCATCGGGCTGTCCACTGCTGCCAGCGTCCGCAACGCTCGTCTCAGGCTGTTCTTGCTCCTCGGGGGTTTGGTGCAAGATACCCATACGCTCGGCCAGAGAGGCCGTCAAGAGTCCACCGGTATCATCGACGACGAGCCACTGCCCAGCATGCGGCCCCTCTGCGCCCTCCTCCGGCTGCGACGCGAAGTGCGTATCAGCCCAGCACCCGAGCAGCGCCATTGACTCTTGCCGCATCTCAAGGATCTTGGAGGCGTCCTTGTCTTCGAGCATCCAGTGCGCCAGCAGCGGCACGTCCAGCGGCAGGACGGTGAACCGCCTGATATACTTTTTGGTTTTGAGCAGCTTGTACTTTGCCAGCGAGAACTGTGTCTTCTGGTCGATGGCAGTATGCGAAAGAAGCAGCTTCGCAATGAGGTCCTGTCCCGCCGATGTACCCTTCTTCTTGAGCTCTTCAATCTCGGCCGACGTGAGCGTCTGCCGCGCCGAATCGTCCAGCACCTCGCGACTGGAGCGTGCTATGACCTTGCCGCTGTCGTCCACCAGCGTGAAGTCCTCCCCGTCGGCAGGGACGATCACATCATCGTCGTCGTTCGTCTCTGCGGTCTCCTCGCTCGTCTCGATCGCATCCTTGTCGGCGGACGTGTCGGCGAGGGCGTCAGCGTTGAGTTCGACTCCAGGGACAATGCGCAGGCGCGAGTAGGTTTCGCCCTCCTCTTGATCTTGGACTTCGTATGTCAGATTGTACGGCCGCTCGATGATCAGGTTGCTCGGGAAAGACCCATATTTCCCTAATGATATGGTCCTGGGCGCATGTGAGCATGTGAGTCTGCTGTGAACGAAGGCGGGAGGACGTACGTGTTGGGGACGACCTGAAGCACTCTGAGCATGTCATTGGGCAGCTTGATCGCTACCCAGGCGTTGGGTTGCACGAGGTCTCTAGACATGCTGGCGATGTACAGCAATGTGGTCATTGCTCGTTGGAATCTATGCAGTGGCTCGTCGTGGGTTTTTTTTTGCTTTCCTGATGGTCAAGGTGACGGAATTCGATCGCGACTCGGTGAACCCCGCTGTGGGTCCCTCACCGAGGACACCTCACCTTCTCAAGCAGAGGCTGAGGTGAGGTTTCGAGACGACATTCACCAGACATCACAATCACAATCTGCTTAATCGAAAGGCAAGGCCAGACGCATCTCATTTACTATTGAGTTATCTTTATCCAATACAGTTGTCGCGTCACGGAGCAATTGATGCGCCGTCGCGTGTCATCAGCGCGCTTGGCTAGCCACAAACAAAGGAAAACAACGCCCCCATGGGGGCGATCTCGACGCCTCTACTTGTTCTTCTAGACCATGTCAGCGCTGCTGCTACTGTCGCGGCGTCTCTGACCCACCTTTTTGGCAAACAGGTTACCAACGGTAGCAAAGGGCTTTGCAATCATGGAGCACGCGTACAAGAACAGGCTGAGTAACCCAAAGCAGACAAAAGGAATGACCGTGTAGGTCAGCAGGTAGACAGCGCCACCCGACATCTTGACCACCGGGTAAAGCTCCTTCTCCATGATTTGCAGCGCGACAGCCTCGCTTTTCCAAGGCCCAACTAGGCGGAACTTGGGGTTGAAGTTGGACCCCATGGCCCAGGTGAACAGGATCTTCCAGCCCTTGCGCATGACGAAGCCAATATTGGGCGCGGCGCCCATGTCCAGAGCCAGCTGGTAGGCGTAGCTCTCGTGGTCAACGCCGCGCTTGCTGGCGAACAAGTCGTATCCGGCGCGGGCCTTGAGCTGCCAGTCCATCTCGTACCCTGCCAGGGCATCGTTGGACGGACCCGTGGGCATCTTGTCCGGGAATTGGTCCTGTAGAAGGCGTAGGATCCAAAACTGGGCCTGCAGCTCGGCCAGAGGCGGGATGGCACCAATGCTGGGACGAACGAACCCGATGAATCCGACATCAATGTTGTCGCTGTTGTACACTGCACGAACATCAGTGTCTGTGATGGATGGGTAGCTGGCGTCGAAAAAAGGGAACTCGGTCTGATATCCAGTGGCCATGAGGACAAGGTCAGGTTTGACGCGCTTGGGGTCCGCGTCCGACTCGTTCTTCAACGCCATACAGCCCTCATTGTCGATCTCTTCAGGCCACGCGCAGACATGAATCTTCCGCCCAAAGGTCGGTTTCAAAGGGACATTGAGAAACGCAGTGCGCTTCTTGTTCCACCATGATTCGGAACGATGTCCCTCGGACATGTAGCGAATGGCGCGGTCCGACTTGACAAAGAATACAGAGTTGACGTGTTTGCGCTCCTTGCTCATGTGGCCAACCCACTGGTCGGGGCCCTCTTCCGTGCCGGAGATGAGCATGTGCATTTTCTTGATCCACTGGTCATAGGCAGTCCACAAGAGTGAGCTGCGCTGGAGGACGGGGTGGACGTAGGCCGTGTTGAAAAGGCTCGCCACGGAAGCATCCACGGGCTTGTTGTACATGTAGGCAGCGGCACCCTTGCCATACGGGATGGGGACGGGGATCACCTTGGGTGCGCAGAAGAAGCCAGCCCGGTGGCAGAGATAGACGGACTTGGCCCCCGATGTCACGGCCAAATGAGCCATGTCCATGGCCGCCTCACCCGCGCCCATGACCACGACCTTGGCGCCTGAACCGAATTGTCGACGATTCTTGATCTGGGAGGAGTGGAGAACCTCGGGAATCTTGTCGAGGTTCTTCATGTCAGGGATGCGAGGGTTCATGTTGAGCCCGGTGCACACAGCAACGGCATCAGAAACCCATTCTTCAGTGCTGCCATCAGGGCGACGAATTTCAACCTTGTGGCCGCCTTGAACACTGCGGCTCACGCTCATGACCTTGGTCTCTAGCTCAATGCTGCGGTCGAGGCGGTGGTGCCGGACATAGGAATTGAGGAAGTTCACGTATTCCTTGGGGGTTACAAAGTCCCCAGACTTCCTGGGAAGGCGATAGTCGGAAAAGGCAGTCAGGTACTTTGACGAGACCAGCTCGGCATCCTCGTACACGCGCTGCACAAAGGTCCCGCCAATTGTCTTGTCGCCCTCGAACAGACGGACTTCGATTGGGTCAATGGGGAAGAACTCGTGCGCGTGGAGCAGGAAGCGCAATGTTGCTAGACCAGAGGGTCCGCCACCGATGATGGCGACTTTCATTGTGTGTTCTTCTGGTTCTTCTCGTATGCGTTGGTTCTCGTGGGAAGAAGAGGTAGAGGGGCAAGGGGAAATCAGGGTATTGTCAGTGTCTTGAGGAAAGGGGAAGAAGCATCCTGAACAAAGAGAAGGATCCATGCTACTGATATGCCTGACAAACAGGCGTCACGCTTAGTATCATCTGGTGGCTGACGATCTGTCTGTCGGTTTCAAGAGGCGACGTTCTGGTCGTCCCGTCATTCAGGGGCGAACAAGTGACAGTGGTGCCTCGCGGACGAGACGAAAAAGCAGCGAACGGAAGCGAACGGCAGCGAACGGCAGCGAACAGCAGCGGAACACTGGGTGAAATTTGGTCGAATCAAGGGCTGCTTATGGCGAATAGGGGTCTCTGATTCAGTTCAATCGAGGCAGTGAGAGCTCCGCATAACATTGCTTCGGCAGGTTTGCCACGGATGGGGTTGAAGACTCACGAGCCTCAGGACAACAATAAACTGCCAGTTGGATCATTGCTCCGTTTCTGCGAACAAAGCAGATCGGAGATGTCGGATATTGCTCGCATCATTCGCTGAGCAACGCCGCCTACTATGCAAGGTATAGAGAGACCCAGACGACACGGGCCTCGTCAGGCACCGAAACATCGCCATTTTGACACCAACATTCGGGCCTTTTGTCTGAACAACAAGGGCAGCAAAGATTCAAACAAGGTCTCTCAAATAATGGACTTTGGAATCCCCGAGTCGTCCGCCTGGACCGGACGGTTGAGCTGTTTCGTGGACTGGACAGTTGAGCAATTACGAAACAGCATGTGACGCGTCAGCCTGGTCAAGTCTTTCCAAAGCCGCAAATCACTAGACAAACGGGCAGCTTTTGCGGAACTACGACGTCGATATGATCCGGATGATTCGAATTGACACCTTGAGGGGGGCGGCACCACCTATATCTCGGCGCGCGCCACACGCCTCAACGGACACTACTCCGGCCCAGATTCTCGGTTCAGATCAAGTTTGGAAGAATTCTGCTACCTTGCTCTGCTACTGCAACTTGGACCCTGAGGCCAATTGTCGGAAGCTTCGGGGGCGGACGACTGACCTAAGTCCCGTCTACGTATAGCTCCCTCACGACGCCACGTGTTGCCATGTGGGAGCACTGCTACCAACGCCACATAGCTCCTCCTGATTCTTCCGATCAAAACTCGAGGACTATGTCGCTGTTGATGAGACATTCGTCTGTTGGCTGTTGGGAACTTAATGCCCTGACCGCCAATGAGATGAAGTGACACACGAGACCCGGCGCGAACCTTGATCGGAAGGCCACCTAAGCTCCCACGCCAGAAGCCTCGCACTCTGTCAGGAACGGACGGCCGTTGTTCCGTGTATCTGACGACGCCAGGTCTTTCCGGAGACATTACCGCGCCCCCCTTTCATCAACATAACGGGCTGCAACGACATGCGAGGGGAGCTTCCACTCCCAACACGTCGTCCCATGGCAGCTCTTGGCTCGTTCCAAGAAAGAAATGCATGGAAATAGGCAAACAATGCTGCCAAGTATACTCCAAGCGAACCGTTTACTTTGCACTTGCTCGCTATACCTATTTCCGGAGTCCCCCACTTGTTGCCGGCTAGCTTCTGCTCTCTTCCACAACCTACACTAACAGGGTGTGCACATGCCAGGTCGACCGCAACGCAAGCCCTACTCTACCGACCATACCCCAAAGAAGCGCGAGCATGGCTCACCTCGAGATTCAAAGCCAAGACGGCCTTTATAGCTGGTGGCAAGCAGAGAGCCACCATGGACACCCTTGTAGTCAACAAAACCGACGAGGCCGCTGTATCGAAAGCCTCAAGTGTCTATAAAAGAGCTAGAACACTTTCTCGAACCAGAGTCTTATTGCTCCTGCATCAAGCTCGTCTCAAGTCGTTCACTTGACTTTGCAATTGGACCTTCGTTTAGCCCAAAAATCACAATCGCTTGATACCAAATACCGCCAAAATGCGCGCCGGTATCCTTTCATCAGTCTTCCTGGCTGCCACCGGGGCGACTGCCACGTTCGACAAGCTCCCTGAGCACCTCCGTGAGCACGTTAACAAGCACGTCCAGGAGAAGAACGCCAAGAAGGTCGAGGAGCAGGACCCCAAGCCCCATCACCACAAGATCTTCTTCCCCGACGATCCTGAGAACCATGGCCGTCATTGGGACCTCTGCCGTGACCCCAAGCACTGCGACCCCAAGGACTCCATGGGTGATGTCAGCTTCAACGTGACCGAGGAGGACCTCGTCTTCGACTTTGCTCGCAAGAACACCCGCGAGGAGGTCCGCTTCGAGGAGATTGAGATCTTCCTGAGCGCCAACCAGAGTCAGTTCGACGACAGCCACCGCTTCGGTACCCACCGCAACCAGTGTGGTCCCCACGACGACAGCGTCCGCTGTCGCTTCCCCTTTGAGGAGGTTGTCGAGGGCGGCCGCCAGGGTCTGTGCCCCAACGGCCAGAGCGAGAACTTCATCTTCTACATCAAGATCAAGTCCGTCGTCAAGGTCAAGGAGGAGCGCATCGAGCTCTTCAACAAGGCCATCCGCCGCCAGCAGGCACAGATTGGCAACGGCCGCCACTTTGGCCGCGCCGCCGAGGACGATGCCAAGGACTACGGTTTCTCCCTGGACGACCACTTCAAGATCGGCTACCAGTGCTGCGAGACCAAGTGTGACTGCTACGAGAAGGAGTGCGACTTCCACGCCGACTATAAGCACGGCGAGGACAGCGAGGGTCTGGCCATTGATGAGCAGAAGGCCAAGCTCGGCGAGCTCAAGCAGGGCACGCACGTCGTCGCCCGCGACGTCGAGGAGTCTGAGCATGCTTGCCACCACAACGACAAGGACGAGGTCTGCTGCTGCAAGCCCTGCAAGCCTGAGGAGCCCAAGTGCGAGCCCAAGTGCGTCTGCAAGCCTGTCGTCAAGCAGGAGTGCAAGCCCGTGATCAAGCAGGAGTGCGAGATCCAGTGCAAGCCCAAGTGCGAGCAGGAGTGCAAGAAGAAGACCGAGCCCAAGTGCGAGCACGAGTGCAAGAACAAGTGCGAGTGCAAGGAGGACGACCACGAGTGCAAGCACAAGTGCGAGCACAGCTGCAAGGGCGAGTGCCAGCATGAGTGCCAGCATGAGTGCCAGCATGAGTGTAAGCATGAGTGTAAGCACGAGTGCAAGCATGAGTGCAAGCACTCCTGCAGCCACAAGCACAAGTGCAAGCACGCCCACAAGCACAAGCACGCCCACAAGCACAAGTGCGACCACGCCCACAAGCACGGACACAAGCACTCGCACCACCACAGGCGCAACTTTGGCGGCGAGGCTGGTGCTGAGGACTGTGCCGAGACCGGCCCCGAGGCCTACAACTTCTCGGTTGACGACCACTTCAACATTGGCTACCAGTGCTGCGAGTCCAAGTGCGAGTGCTACGAGAAGGAGTGCGACTTCCACGCCGACTACAAGCACGGTGAGGAGAGCCAGGGCATGGACATTGAGGACCAGAAGACCAAGCTTGCCGAGCTCCAGTCTAATCAGGGCGAGAAGGAGGCCAACCAGGAGCTCGTCGCCCGCGTCGCTGACGAGGAGGAGGCCAAGCACTGCAAGCTCTGCCCTACCGGCAAGTGCTGGCGCAAGCCCCAGACGCCTCACCAGAAGCGCTCGTACAACCGCCCCGAGGACTTTCAGTGCGAGGGAGCCTTTGTCAAGGCTTTTGGCCGTGGCCAGAACAACACCCACCGCTTCCACGAGCTGAGCGACAGCAAGCCCGAGGCCTGCAACGTCGAGGACGGTGTCTTCCACCGCCACTCGCGCTCCGACCTCGAGGTCTCCGTCAAGGGCCCCATCACCTTTGACGACCGCGAGTTCGGCTTCTTCTCCATTGCCCTCGAGAAGAAGCGCGAGCACACCTTCCTGGCCATCAAGGTCAAGGTTGACGACGTCGACTTCTTTGTCGCCGAGATTGCCGTCTTTGTCGACTGCGACGGTGGTGTCAGCAACTACAAGAACGCCGACACTAAGCACCCCTCGGTCTGCAAGCCTGACTCGTACCCCCACCGTCACGTCGACGAGAAGGGCATCGACAAGTTCAAGTTTGAGATTGAGGACACCTTCCAGTGCCGTGGCGACTACTTCATCGCCATCTACGTCCTCGTCTGCGTCAAGGACGGCGACAACTGCCACTACCGCAAGCACACCCCCCACCACCGCGAGGACCCTGAGCCCAAGGAGCACCACCGCAAGAACCCTCACGCCCAGATCCACTACTAAGCGACGCCGCCACCTCGCGGCCGCTGACGGGTCCCGTCCGGATGGAACGATAGCTGGATAGGCGTGCTCACCATGAGGAAGACCTGCTCTCCTCTCCAATGGGAGAGATCTGTCACTCTGGTGTACCGGACGGGGTTTTTTTTTTTTTTTTTTGGCGTTGAGCCCCCGTTTTGGACGAGGAGGATGTATTTCAAGAAGAAGAAAAAAAAAACATAATCACATAGACACGTAATGCCTCCTGATAATATACATCCTTCTCTGAAAAAAACGACAGACTTCTCTCGTTCCGTGGACCATAGCCTCTCTAACCTGGTTCGTTTAGACCCCCCTTCCCTGGGCAGCAGCACCGGGGACAGAGACAGCAGCATCCTCTTCCACGGTGTGCCCTGGCTTCTCCTCGTCGAGGACCTTGCCGGCCACGTCGGGATTTTCACCCCTGAGACCAATGTCGGCATCCGCGAGCGAGTCGATCGCCCTCATGTACGCAGGCACAGTGTTACACGCAATAGCGTACGTCGACGCCGCAGCCAGGAAGATCAGAGGCACAACCATACCGATGCCGTTGCCGTGCCTGTCGTTGGCGACACCCGTCAGCGGGGGCACGCAGGCACCGCCCACGACACCCGCGATGATATATCCGCTACCGCGTTTCGTGTGGCGGCCGAGGCCGCGCATGCCGAGGGCGACAATGGTCGGGAAGCAGATGGACTCGAAGAACAGGACCATGAACAGCATGACGACGGGCGCGTTGCTCCTCTGCCCGGTGCCAGGGAGCGCGACGGCCGGAATCATGAAGATGATGCAGCAGGTCAAGTAGGCGAGGAACACCTTGCGCGGGCGGAAAAACTTCATGACGATGACCCCGACGAAGCGGCCGACGGTGAAGGCGGCCTGCGCGCCCGAGAAGAGCTGGGCGGCCAACGAGTCCCCGGTGTCCGGGCGGGTGTTTACGGCGTAGTTGATGAAGAAGCTGGCAATGGCGACCTGGGCGCCCGTATAGCAGAATTGCGCAAAGGCGGCGTGGAAGAGGCGGTACTGCTTCCAGAAGGGGAGGTCGTCGGCGGCCGCGTGCGTCTCCTGCACTTGGTAGGCCATGTCTACAAGGAGTCAGTCTGACAAGCTCGCACCAGTGGGCAAGATGGACATACCAGCGTCGGTGATCTCGGGAATGTTGGAGAAGAAGAAGAGCGTGGCCAGGATCAGGACGAAGACGGCAATGGCGGTGTACACCCATTGCACGTTGGCGAGAGCCTTCTCGTCGTCGAAGGCGAAGAAGACGTAGGATCCGAGCGCGGGCGCAATGACCGTGCCGATACCGTTGAAGGCCTGGGACAGATTGATTCGCATCTCGGAATACTTTGGGGGACCGCAGACTATGGGCTTGTTAGACATGGGTCGCGCCGCATGGACTCCTTGCCATGTTTGCACTCACTTGTGATGAAGGGGTTGGCGGCCGTCTCGAGCGAGCCGAGACCGTTGCCGATGATGAAGATGGACATGCAGAAGCCCGCAAAGCTCTTGGCCTTGATACAAGGGATCGAGATGACGGCGCCCAGGGCGTACAGGCAGAGGCCCCAGATAAAGGTCGCGCGGTACCCATAGTGCCGCAGGATCCACGCCGCGTGGCCGATGGAGGCCAGAGGATAGGCGCCAAAGTAGGCAGCCTGCAGACCGGCTGAGCGCGCCTGGTCAATGTGGAGGACGTTCTGGAAGTGCTTGTTCAGGGTGTCGAGCAGGCCGTAGCTGAAGCCCCAGAGGAAGAATAGCACCGTCACGAGGCAGATGGGCCAGACGGACTCGCGCAAGGTGAGCTCGGCCGCCTTGGTGGTCTGGTTCCTGGGCGCTTTGAGGCTACGTGCCTTGAACACGCCGGCGAGACCCATGATGGTGTTGGTGGGCGGCTATCACCTCTCGATGTGGGAGCTGGGCTGGCGCAAAGTGCAGTGTTGTTCGAGCTGGACCACCCTGTGTCTGTGGTGGTTGCGGAATGGTCTCTCGGTCGCCACAGGATTCTGACGCGGGCGTGAGGGACTCTTTATAAAGACGAGGGCAACACGACTATGACAGCGAAGCATTGGAAGTGGAGCCGGTGGTAGGAAGGGGGTCGGACGCATCGCCATGAGTGGCCGCGCCATGGATTCAAGGTTCCAAACCACACTTGGCGCCTGGTGCGATGAAGTAAAGTAGCCGTCTGCCGAATGCAGAATCGAGGCCGGTGCGGGGACTTGGAGGATGGCTGGCACCTCCAACGCGCGGAGGCCATTGGTGCGAAACGGCAAATCCCCACGGGGTCAGTCGTTGGAGCGATCCATCATCGGCCGTCGGGTGGAGAATGATAAGCCTGGCCGACTCTGGGTCATTGGTTCGCGGGGGAGCGATGGCTGTCCTCGAAGCAATGATGGGCCGAGTGGTGATGACTCCATCAAATTCCCCTCCTTCGCTCGACCAGGGTAAAGTAGCCGTCGGTTCAATTGTTCAATTCGGCTCAGACCAAAAGCCGACGTTGAGACTGAGGCGATGGCTGGCACTAGTCGCTTATGAGTGTGAGGGCTCATAAACGTGGGCTTGCCAGTCTTTGGTCCGGGACGCATGGGTGCAATACCGAAATGAAATCACAGGCTCGATTGTTGAGGGTACTTGGTAGCACTCGGAGGTGCTTCTGGAATTCGCCGATCTGTTGCTTGACTCCCTGATTTGGGCACGCGCAGGCCTTCCAATCTTCTGTCGCGCCGACAGTAGCACACCACATGACCAGTTGGTATGTCATTACTGGACAGTCCATGATCTGAGCGGTGGCGACCCAGATTCTGGTGTAATCACATCTGACGCTAGAAGGTTTCGTCGAACATCGAATGCATCGACTAGTCGTCGACTCATACTCAACGGTCGTACGGTGACTGGCTGTTAGTATGTCGTTCCAGACGCAAGTACCTATTTGCGAAGGATGTCGACATGTGAGAGACTTCTTCGCTCTGATTTCTCGTCGCTGGTCCCACGGTTCTTTGACAGCCACTGGAGCTGGGATGGCATCGAACAGTTCGAACTATTTACAGCGTTCGGTTGGTGGATGCGGGGGCCTAATTACCCCAGACTTTGGACTGCGGCCGGGCTCCATAGTGTCTGGGGATGGCACGCTCCAGCCTTGGCACTGGATGATGTCGATGACGGGTTCTGATTTCGGGAGTAATCTTTCTGGGGCTGGATTCGAAGCTTGAGAGATGGCTGGGCAGATCCGTGTTGGAGCCACAGGCGATTTCGACCATCACATGCTGGGGAGTGTGCGGCCAGTCCAACGCACCTGCCCCTTCTTTCAATCAACTCGACTGGCGGGCAACTGCCGCCAATCGCGCCTTCCGCCACCATCTCTCTAAAGAGTCGCACTCGGACGGATGGCAACGATCAACGCACATCTTCCTATCGACTTATGGACTAGACCTAACACGCTGTTTATATTTCTCGCATTGTGCATAACACTATGCAGGGACGCTCTTTTCTGCCTGTTGAGTCCTAGGCTCCTCGCGTTGCTCTCCAAGTCTACGGATAGCCATCCCCGCTCCAGTCGGTACGTAGATGCAAACGCTAGTCTGAAATACCCGACGGTTGATGCCAAGGGCCCAAGACTCAAAGTCAAAAGGCGGCTGAGAGGCTGCCTGGCCAAGTCCAATAGTGTCTGCCAGCGCCTCTAATGTAGACAAAACAGATGCTGCTTCGGTGGGCGCAGACTTGCACGGTCTACTCGGGCGATATACAACGCATCTTTGTATTTCGCCCTCGAAGGTTGTCCAGCACCACGACTCACGTACCATAGACTGGCGCCCTGTCTGGCAGTAGCAGCCTACCCGGCACATCCTATTCAGCGAGTAGTCACTGCTTCGCTGTTTCGTTGAAAGAAAGACCAAATACCATGAGACTATGGAGCAAATAAATACGCTTTCTGATTCATTTTTGTCACTATCCTACGATCTGATGCGGTTGTGATAGCACGTTATACTTGCCCGACTCGAGTGAACACACACGCTTCCTAGGGGCAGGCATGGACTCCGTCATACCGACGCACAGCAATTGTCTTACTCCGCACGGCAGTCTTCTGACCATTAAGCTGTGCCAGCAGCCCTTCAGGCAACATGATCAGCAAAAGTCGACCACATGAACATTAAATATCAACGTGGCCGACTGTCTCATCTAAATGAGCCCGCCAACGGGGAGGCTACGAGGAACTGACAAGCATTTGGGGAATTGCCCGCGATCCAAGCTACCAATACGCGAAGAACGTCACAAACATGAAGTCAATGCTCGTGAATCATCATGAGCAGCAGCAAGAGCAGCGAGACAAACATTTTCGATTCTGGGGTATACGACCAATAATAAAGAGACATTACTCCCCTGGCTCTCTTGCTCCCCACGACCAATTGTATATACAAGTTTCTTCAACCCATCGCCTTGTCGCGCGATCACGAGTCTAAGACCAGTTGGGCGCGTAGGTGATGGCGCCCATGAGGCAGCCAGAGATGACGGCGGCGACGGGCACGGTGATGATCCAACCGGTGTAGATCCAGGCGACCATGCGCCAGTTGATCGCGCGCCAGTCACCGTTGCAGAGACCGACACCGACAATGGCACCAGTGATGCACTGGGTGGTGGAGACGGGGAGTTCTAGAAGCGGTCAGCAAGATGAAAACAATGACAAGATTCAAAAGGGGTGAAACGTACCGAGACGGGTGGCGACGACGACGGCAATGACGGAGCCGAGCTCCATGGAGAAACCACGCGAGGGCGACATGAGGGTGATCTTGTTACCGAGGTTGCTCATGATACGGTATCCGAAAGTCCAGGCACCAATCGCAATACCGATACCACCGAAAGCCAGGATCCAGACGGGCACGGTGGACTTCTTGCCGGTGATCTCACCAGTGTGCCAGACCTGGTAGATGGAGGCATAGGGGCCGACGGCGTTGGCGACATCGTTGGCACCGTGGACAAAGGAGGCAGAGGCGGCGGTGAGGATCTGCAGGAAGGTGTAGAGGTACTCGGTCTTGTTGTCAAAGTGGTCACCACGGGCGTGGATCTCGGCGAGGTCGCCCGTCAGGGCACCCTTCTTGGCCTGCTCGCGGTGGATGTCAATGTCGACACCACGGAACAGGGCCCACTTGAGCCACCAGAACATAACACCGGGCGCGAGGAGGTTGCCGGCGGGCCTGGGGCCGATGATGCCGTTCTTGCGGATGTGCTTGCCGTACATGTTCATCTCGGGGACGTCGTCGTTGGCCTCGGTGGCGGGGGCGCGGGCGTGGGCGGGCGCGTCATTGCTGATGCCCGAGTCGCTGGTGGCGCGGTTGACAACGGTCTTCTTCTCGTGCTGGGCCTCGACGTCGTTCTCGCTGTTGACCGTGGCGGCCTGGCGAGCGCGCTCGGCCTCGAGCTCCTCGCGGTCGAGGTGGCCCTCGTAGAAGTCACGGACAACGCCACGGTAGTCGGCGGGAGGGGGAGGGACCTCACCGCGGCGGAGCAGCATGGGACCCTTGATGAACTCGTACCACTTGATCTGCCAGTCCTCCTTGATGACAACGCGGTAGAAGTAGGGGATGAGGAAGAAGCCGACGAGCATACCGAAACCAGCACCGGCAGCGACAATGACACCGGGGATCTGGGCACCAGTCAGGTGAACCTCGTAGTCACCGCCCTTCCAGAGCAGCAACATGGTGATGAGGGAGCCGGCGAGCCAGAAGTACAGGGGAATGGTGATGAGACCCTTCATGGTGGGGTTGCTGCGCAGCATGATGCCGTACTTTGTGATGGAGAAGATGATGGCACCAGCGGTACCCGCCAGGAGGGGGGCGATGATCCAGGCGAGGAAGACCTGGATGACACCGGCCTTGATGTCGACGGAGCCGTCATCCTTGTAGCCGACCCAGACGATGCCAGAGGGGCCAAGGGCACCGAAACCCATGCCGAGGACACCGCCGAGGATGGAGTGGGTGGTGGACACGGGCATGCCGATGCGGGTGGCGAGGGTGAGGTAGAGAGACGAGGCGATGACGGCGCAGACCATGCCGAGCATGAGGAGGGCGGGGGCCTGCTCAAAGGCGCCAATGTCGACGACCTTTGTGCGGATGGTGTCGGCGACGCGGCCACCGACACCGACGGCACCGACAAACTCGAGGATGGCGGCGCCGGACATGGCCTGGATGTAGGTCAGGGACCGCGAGGAGACGGACGAGGCCCACGAGTTGGCGACATCGTTGGCACCAATGTTCCAGGCATCGAGGAAGGCGAAGATGGTGCCGATGGCGAAGAGGTAGTCGTATTTGTGGAGAGCCATTGCGAAAGAGGCTGTCGAGCAGTGGCTGCTGCTGCTACTGCTTTGCGAAAAACGACGACGACGACGGGGTGTCTGAAGATAAAAGGGAAAAGCGACCACGGTCAACCTTACTAGTCAAGTCAAGGCTTTTGAGTTCCGGCCTGCCGAAGGTTGAGGAGGTGGTTGGTAGGACAAGGACAAGGAAGCAGGAGGAGGGAAGAGAGAGACGGAGGGATGAGAATATATATCAAAAGGCAGTCTGTAGGCAAAGTGGCCTACATACACATGCAAGCGGGAACAGCGAGAGACGGCGCATCTGGGCAGACCGGAGCCAGGGATCATGGTGGTGGTGGGTGTGGGCGCGGCGGCGTTGCTGGTGGGTCAAGGGTTGTGGTCCTGCAGTATTATGCGGATCCAATCCAGTCCAGTCCAGTCCAGTCGCCTGCGCCAGGAAAGAAACTCTCACCATCAGAATTGTGGTTGCTTGCTGGAGACTGGGACCTCGCCTCGATGGCCCCCCCACGTGGTTCCACTGGTATTACGGGCATGGAGTGAAAAAAAATAGGAGTCCAGTCGCCTCGTCCGTGGGTTGCTTGCTCACCAGGACAAGGCGTGGATATGCCCTGCTCTCAGAGTGGTTTGTTCCTCGGTACGTATGAAGCGTGACAAGTCGAGCTCGAAGCTTGGCTGCAAGTCTCCGACCAGGCCGTCCAGGGCTGCTGCGCTAGACTGTGCGTGGAGGGAGGGTGCGTCCAAAAGACGAGAGGCGTCACACCCCAGCTCCGTTTGTTCCTCTTGCGGCCCTCTGTCGACTCGATCGTCAACGTGGACTCGAGGCCTCCGTTGAGCATGCCACTGGGCCATGTCACTCGTTGGCTGCTCATGAGATTGGAGGTTGAGGGTTGGACTTTGTGCTGTAATTCGTTGCCTATCGTAGATGACGCTGGGCTGCTCCTGATCCTGATCTCACTGCTTTGGTGCAGATAGCACGAAACGTCACCAAGAAATTCCCCGTCCCCGTGGCAGCGTCACTGCCAGTTCTGATCATCAAGGAGCGCAACTCAATTCGATCCATAGTGAGGTTAACATCAAAATACGTACATGTAACAGTGAGTGAGTAGCTCTGATGGGACAGTTTCATTGGCGCGACCCTGTCGCGTGCGCGCCGTGGATGGAATTCTTGGCGGGTGGGCTGTTGCAATATTCCCTGCAGGCTGCGTGGCGGTTGGCACGAAAGAATCAGCTGGTTAAAAAAAAGGCTGAGAGGGCTGAACATGGCTATTCGGCACATTGGCGCAGAACCAACGCTGCTGTTGCCCTCGTGCGTCACGATAGTTGGTCAAACAGATGGTGAGCCAAGAGCTGCAAGAGCCTACTCAGTTTGGCATGCTTGAAAACAACTCTAAACGGCAGCTCCACGACTCCAGAATTCTTTGGACCTACCTGGCGCTGAACATCCACAGAGAGGCGCAGGGGTGGTCCGGGTGGGGAGGAGGGACGGAGGGGGTAAAAGGGCCGCTAGTGGGAGTAGATCTGGATGCAGCAGATCTCTGTGGACATATGGACCAATGACAGTCCAGAATATCTACACGTGCGGCAGTTGCTGGACCTGCAGCGCCGCGGAAGGCTTGGCTTCTAGAAGCCTCCCACCCACTTTGGTGTCAGCGCTATAAGCTTAACAGCGAAGCTTGAAAATAAGCACCATGCTTGTTAGCAGCGCAGCCCACCCACGACCAATCACATCCGCCTCTCAGAGCACGTTGCCCTTGGATCGTTGCTGAGAGGCAGATGTCCCCCACGCGATGCCCATTATTCCATCTTTGCAAGTTCGAGGCTCGAGTCGCCATCGCTTGCTGTGCAGCTCGTCCGCTCATGCCGTGCGTACACTTCTCCAGTGAGCGTAATACATCACGCGATGCTCTGGAGTCGGGCTTTTTGTAGCAGCTTTTTAGAACTGGGTGCCTCACGGAGCCAGCGGTACGAAACATCCGCCTAGCCATTGCGCCTCATCAATGGCAGCCTTTATAGAAGATAGTAAACAACTTGCATGTGTGATCAAGTCGATCTGATAGACATCTGGACGCCTGGCCACTCAGTGACGCCTTTGATGTGCGGGGTGTCTGCCCAGCAAGTGGCAGGGGTGAGCCCCAATGTATCACCAGCGTTGCACCCTACCCTACAGCAACTCTAGGACAAGCATGATCGCAACTAGCGACACTCAATTCTTGTCTGGGCAACTCATTATCACAGAATGGTCATAATTGCGTCTCTATATCGTCGATCTGAAGTAATACTGGTAATATCACGTCCGAATATTCCGTGTTTCTTGAGTTACACGTGTCTGTCATTTTTCGAGTAAACAGCGCAGGTCCAGCTTACTCAAAAATCTCAACACGGATATTTACAAAACGGAGCCACGGCGAAATTCTTGTAATCCACAACGGCTTAGGGGTTACAGATTCGGCTCACCTGTAGCCTACGCTTTGGAAACTCTTCACAATACGTATGTATGACTCGCGAGCCGATAATATCCACGACGATGAAGCCGCGCACTAATCCCTGGAGCAGCTGCCAGCGGGTTCGCCCGAGCTCGGCGCAATGCAAGGCGATTTTCATGTGAAATGTTGAAACCACTGAAACTATCGTCCGTGGGCGAGCAGTCGTGCCGCGAGGCTCCGAGCCTGTGGGGTCTGGGGACAAGCACACGTGGGGGAGTCGTGGCCCCTGACTCGACGGAGTCTATCGACATGTCCAAAGCCAGTTTGCAACGTCATCACTCTGTCTTGCCTGCCTCAGCGCAGAAAATTCTGCTGAGACATGGCCAAAGAAACTGTATATGGCTTTTTTGTGATTTGGGTTTGCCATCTCTTTGGCAGTCGGACCGTAGGAGTTGTCGGATGGAACAGACTCTACCAGGTAGCTCACGAGTGCATCATCGTGAAGTAGAAGCAAATAGACATGGCCTTCCACTTGGACTCACAGCCTCTTCCTTGACCTGGAGGCCCCGTTAGTACCGGCACGGCAATCGGCACCGCCCAGTTCCGCGAGAAGGTTATAGACAAAGTATTAACCTTAGAACAACCTCATGATTAGAGTTGACTTGCGTCTCCAGCGCATGCGGCCAGCAACATTGGCATATTTCTCCAGAAACACCCTGTCTGGAGGGACCCGACCTTATTTCGACGTCGCCTCCTCGGACAGCGATCTGTTCCTGCGTATCACAGATCCAGTCTCCGTCTGGCTTTGCGGCTCTGGGTCCCATCACCCCTCGAACTGCATCAGGGTTGGGAGATTGCCAGTGTCCATTATGCAAACCAGAGTCTTGCAGAACAGTGCTTCTCGACGCTGTTCACCCCTGCCAGCATTCATGCTCGTACGTGAGCAGGTGACGGTCGACTTCACCAATCCCTTGCGTCCAGCGTGGACTAATGAAAAGCCACTATCATGTTGGCACTTTGGCAGAGTCAGACTTTTCTTGACTAATAACTCCTCAACTATTAACGGGCTTCATTTCCTTTCCAGCTGGTGTGAGCCAAATTGTCCCAACCAGACAACATCACCAACGCCCAGACACGCAAAAGGTCGGTTGGTCTGGGCAAACACAAGCATCGGGCGTCTCCGTAATGTCCATTCCCACGCCAGACGTGACCGTAACGTGCAGATTCGGCACCCAGATTGCCGGTATCCCAGTCTCGTCTCGCATCAGCTGCGTCCAGGAGGGGAGCACGTGGGCGGTCCAGTGGCCGAGAACGCCTCACCGAATTCTTTCTAGAATCGTTTTCGAAGTTCTGCCACGAACATGGCCGCATGGCGCGACCGATGCGAGAAACATCCCACGCAAAGCAGAAACAAGGGTCCAGCGCGTCCGTGCTCATGTGTCGTGTTGCCCGAGACAGACGGCGGAGCCTCCTGGTTGGTGATCCTGAACGGCCATGATCCTGGCGAGGGATATCCGGGCATGTCCGTGTGTGCATGTCAGCCTCACCAGTCCAGACTTGGAGGCGGCCGATACAGCTGCCCTTTCGTGACAAGTTTCTGCATGTTGGCCTGGCTGATTTGCGACTACCCTGGCTCAGGTGTCTCTACCTCCAATGGTTGGTGGTTAGATCTTATGAGTGGCGCTTTCTAAGTCCTATTGCTTCTTGCGTGACGCCCGAATGTCTTAAGCTGTGGCTCGTGTCGGTTTACTGGATAGCGACTGGCTTGATTTGCTATTCGGATCGCTAAAGTAGTCACAAGACATCAGATCGGTGGTGCTGAGACCTCGGTATCCTGTCGTCGAACTTCCGCTACTCAACAACAAGGTTTTAATTTTTTTTTACTGACGGTACAATCTACGCTGGCGAAGCTGACTGAACCTGGCAACAGTCAATATTGTGGCCGCGTGAGTCACCACCCAGGCTCAACGAGCTTCAAAGGTGTCAAGTCAGGCGTCATCCAAGCCGCGAGTATGAGCCAGGCACGTCCATCGCAAGCGCTCTAGGTTGAGCGATTAGACGCAGACATGGCAGCCCGCCGCGCCCATCAAGAAATTCGAAAAGTTTTTGCAACGTCAGGTATGATCGTCGTGAGCTGGGCTCAGGCTGCGCGACGAGTGTTGTCGTATCGGAAAACCTCACCCAGACTCCACGCGGGGCAGCAATGCACCCACCATGCACGTTCGAGCGAGGAGACAAGCAAATAACCGCGGGCGCGCATACATTTGATGTATGCCACGAGCAACAGAGATTTATGAAAAAGCCATTCTACCTCACACATCCTGCGTCCATTCAGTACAGCTAACCGACATGACCAACACGGCACTCGTCTTCGGCGCATCAGGCGTCTCTGGATGGGCGTTCGTCAATGAGATACTCAACGACTACCCTCAGAAGAACGTATGGTCGGGCGTGCACGCTCTGACGAACCGTGCTCTCGATCCCCAAGCAGCTCTGTGGCCCAAGGATGACAGGCTCACCGTGACTTCGGGCATCAATTTGCTCGAGGGTTCCCAGCAGGATGTCGAGCGCAAACTCGCTGGGATTCCGGGCATCAAAAAGGTCACACATGTGGTCTATCTTGGTGAGGGACTGCATATGTGCGTTGAAGAAATGATCTAACGAAAACCAGCCTTCAAAGCCAGCACGGACACCGCCCTCGAAGTAAAAGAAAACATCGAAATGTTCAAACGCGCCATCACAGCCGTCGACAGACTTTGCCCCTCGCTGGCCTTTGTCGTCAACCAAACCGGCTCCAAGACCTACGGCTGTCATCTTCTTCATGACCGCCCCGACTACCTCAAACCACCCTTCAAAGAGGACGGCCCCCATCTCGGACCCCCAGGCTCCGAGACCATTTTCTACACCACACAGCTAGAGTGGCTGACCGGGTTCGCCAAGGAGAAGGCTTGGTCCTGGGCCGAGACGAGACCCGATATTATCATCGGGTTCGTGCCGAACCAGAACTTCTACTCATTGGGTATGGCGTTGGGTTTCTTCCTCGCTCTGTACAGAGAGAAGCACGGCGCGGGCGCAGAGTGCCCCTTTCCCGGCACAGACGCGTCCTGGAAAGCAAAGTGCCAAGATTCCTCGTCGGACATGATTGCACGTCAGACGATTCATATTATGCTCTCACCCAAGACAACCAAGGGACAGGCCTTCAACGTTGCCGATGAGCGGAAGGCGAGTACATGGGAGGACAAGTGGCCCGTACTCTGCAGTCTTTTCTCCCTGAAGGGTGTCAAGGCGCCACATGACAACCCGATTGAGGTGCGCAAGTTTATCAAGGAGAATTACGGGACGTGGGAGGCAATGGAGGAAAAATATGGTCTTGTCAAGGGTCACGCGGACAATGACCGTGTTATCCCTGGCTTTGAGTATTTCCTGCTGACAATGTTCGATGTGGATCGGCAGTTTGATATGGGCAGGGTGTATGATGAGTTGGGCTTTGCAGAGGAGAGGAGTGTCAAGGAGACGTGGGAGCGGGTCTTTGGAAGGATGGCCAAGGCGAAGCTGATTCCAGCGACTTCCAAGTGAAACTGGGTTATCGAAAAGAATGAGGTATCATCACGACGCCCAGTTGACTCGGCCTGTGGGACGATACGTGAAAGTGTCGCGTGAGGCGTGTTGGCGGAACCAATTGGGTAGTGGGAAGACGACCTCGGTGCTGCACCTGACGCATGAATACAAGATAGGAGAAAGACATGAACGTTACCCAGCCGGTCTTGCTATTTGCTTGCGATCAATTGACGCGGCAACATTCGATGTACAAGCCCGGTCTGTGGACATGGACTGTGAAGCATCCCCCAACCAAGGAAGATGCAAATGTGTGACCCGTCATTGGCTTGACTTGTTTGTTAAACCGGTCTGATCGCAGAGTCATTGATTACAGTGTTGTCACCTTCTCATATGCTTCATAAAACCATAAGAGACAGAGCTACTGCACAAAACAGTCTTGCCTACATGTACCAATGCTCCTTTAAGCGCACCAGCTCACCAGCTCAACAGCCCACATCGACCCTCCACCACACGCTTGAGGTCTACACATCTCCGACGAACAGCAACCAACTCTTCACATCATGGAGCCCCCTGAGAAGCCAACCGACACGCATCCCAATGAGCCCGTGGCAGCAGCCGGCCCTTCGGATCACGCACCTCCCAAGGGTATCATGGGTCGCGTGAAGAATCTCCAGAGTCGCATCGCGGGGAGGATCAGTCGACCTAAAACGGGCAGCCAGGCAGAGCCAAAGAAGTGACGGGCTGCAAGTCTCTGTGCATAACGGAAGGGTCGTGTGTCGAAGAGAGCTGAAGCGTTGACCTCATGGAGTATGATGGCGGTCTATCGAGCAGGATCACATCTCGAACTTGAAGCCATCCTATGCTAAACATTAATTGACAAGTGCCGAGGGTCGTGTTCTCTCTTGAGAACACAGAGAACTTCTTCATCAGTGCATTTCAGACTCAAACCGATTGTGCCCTCTTCCTCCTCACCTCCGACATCTATTGACCGCCCAGATCCAGCCCAGGACAAAAGAACCCACAAATGCATTGATCATCATATGCGAGACTTGCTTCAAAAGCATTGATTCATAAGAGCAAGCCCAAACATTTGAGGTACACCAGACCGCTTCGTTGTTCGCAACCGGCCGAGCCGTTCCCGACGGGTACCTGCTGCTCCGGCATGCGTTGGCAGACCACGTCGAAAAGTCGGAGAAGCGCGGCTTTATCACAATTTTCATAAGTCGCGCTGTGATAGCGGTCACATTTTGTAAACATCTCTTCAAAGAGCAGCGTCGCCGCGCTGACTTGTGAGGCGTGGCCATCAACCACAATGACCCCATTGCTTTGTGCTCGGCCCCTTGTCCCTTTTCTTTACGTTGTCTTGAGATGTGGAACAAGCTCGCATAATTTATTCCGGAGCAGTTTCCAAAAGTCGATCAAACATTCGCAAACGTTGTTGTGTCGGTGAAGAGGCATTCGCCGTGGTGCAGTGGCATACACGTGCCCTCTAATGCCCTCCAATGGCTCAGCTTCATGTCAATTTCATCCGACAACTCTTCGTCCTCACTTCTCTGTCACCTTCAGATGACCAGCGACTCACTTACTTGAAAAATTTTTTCTCTCGTGAGTTCGGGGTTTCTACGGTCAACATTACCAGGGCATCGCATCTGAACTTCCACGGCCCCCTTTCTCTCGCGTCCACCATGTCACATCCGAGCACTACAACGTCGACGCCATGGCACATCACCAACATGATCGTCCCGGCCATTCAGATTGGATTCATGGAGTCACCAGTCCTTGAATCGGGTCCCGCCCTGGCCATCCTCCTCGTCTGTCTCCTCTGCCTCTTTCTGTGTATCCAGACCTTCTTCCACTTCGGCCCCTGTCGGCCCCTACCGGGCATCCCTCGCAATGAGACAACTTGGATGGGCTTCAAAGGCGACATCTTCGAAGCGGTCAAAGCAGGCAACACCATGGACTGGCTCCTTGAGCAAAGTCGCAAGCACGGACCCATCTGCCAGCTCTTCCTTCGACCACTCAAACAGCCCTTTGTGCTCATATCGGACTACAGGGTGGCGCAGGCCATCATGCTCCAAAGGAGAGAGTGGGATCGCTCAGACTATTCCATCGACTTGTTGAGAGGCCAGGCACCTATGCATCACATCAACCTCAAGACGGGTCCGGAGTGGAGGGCGCACAGGAAGCTGATCCAGGACCTCATGGGACAGTCCTTTCTTAATAACGTGGCGGCGCCGAATATTTACAGTAGCACACTGAACCTGGTTGAGTTGTGGGCCATGAAAGAGCGAGCTGCCAAAGGTCGTGCCTTCAGTGCGACAGACGATGTTGTCCATTCGACACTTGACGCTGTCTGGGTTTTCACATTTGGGGATGCGTTTCCTGTGAAAGCCACTTACCAAGGAAGGACTTCGTGTGTTCCGGTTTCATTCACGGGACACGAAGTAACCTTCGGAAGTCCATCCCAGGACCCGGCCGTTGAGGCGACACTCAGTGCATCAGACATTGTGGGTGAGTTGGCGGCCTCCCCGTGTCCGACCACGTCGTGGTACATGATGAGGGCCACGTCGAAAAGGGTCAAGCGCCACCTTGCCGTCAGGAGAGAATATGTGGAAACGCAGATCATGGCAGCTGTCGCGCGACTGATGACAGACCCGGCAATGGACGACGTCAAATTCACGTCCGCCACGGATCTGATGGTTCGGCGCGTCAAGGACTGCGCTGAAGGCGCCGGGGAAGTTCCAAATTACCTCTCAGAAACTATGAGAGATGAAGTGCGTTTTCCTCTCATGCACCTATTTTCATGCTAACAAGTATAGGTATTTGGGCTCATCATTGGTGGCCATGATACGACGAGCACAACCACTTTATGGGGTCTGAAGCATCTTGCCGACAACCAAATTGTCCAGGAACGATTACGCTCATCTCTCAGGGCCTCTTTCGCCCTTGCAACACAGGAGAGGCGTATGCCTACAGTACAGGAGATTACTGGTACTTGTATACCATACCTTGACGCTGTCTTGGAGGAAATCCTCCGCCTGGCATGCTCGCTTGCCATCCTCGATCGACAAGCCACCTGCGACACTGAGGTTCTGGGTCACCACATACCCAAAGGCACAATTGTCATGATGATGAATCGTGGTCCGTCCTTTACGGAGCCCGCATTCGGTATCGATGAGAACCTGTCCGGTGGCTTGTCGAACGCAGGGGCGGGATCATCGTGGGACGCCCATACGCTTCACCACTTTATGCCCGAGCGATGGCTGGAGACCAACAGCCAAGGTAGAACATTCTTCAATCCAAAGGCAGGTCCGATGCTTCCTTTCGGTTCGGGTCTTCGGAGCTGCTACGGAAGGAAGTTGGGGTATCTGGACTTGAGGATCGTCTTTGTGTTGCTCATCTGGCGGTTCAAGCTGCACGAGTGCGCGCCAGAACTGTCGACGTATGATGCGGTCGAGACACTAACGTACAAGCCTGAACGCTGCTACGTCAAGTTGGAGTCGATCAAGGAGTGAAGATGCCACCTGGGGTCGAGGATGGAGGAGCTCCTGTTACCTGTATCTGTACGAACATGTCGGCAGTGTAGTGGACTTGCGGATTGGATAACATCGATGTACAGAATTGACCGAAGAACCAAGGCGGTGCCCTTTCTTTAACAATGATCGTAACATCTGCTCGTGTTTTCCAAAGAACATCCGCCGAGGATGATTTCGTAGGCTCAGGGGTAGGAGTGCAAGGCGCACGGCCGGAGAAGTGGAATCCACGTCTCGGCCGGCAGCTCCGTCGCTGTGCCGGACGGCGGGGCCGGGGCTGTAGCAATAGCGGAGATACCACCGAATGCCACCTCAGTCTGGGACAATGGCGGCTGACCTGCATTACTTCGAGATTTTGCCATGGATAGACGGCAATAAGAGTGCCTACCAAGTGTTTCATACTCAAATACCGTTCCAGTCAAACAAGCAGTCTGAGACCAGTAGACCAAGCTGGCCGGACGCGCCTCGGTCTGTGGCGCCCAGACAAGGCTGCTATCCTCGTCAAGGTGCCGAATAAAGCAGAGACCCGTGCATGTCAACAGAGCGACTGGACGAAAATCGTTAATGACTCAACGGCTTATGGTTCTGCTTGTAATATGCAGTCGCAGCTCTTGTATGTCCTTCCATCTGGAAGACCAGTGCGTGGCGCCGCTGGACACCGATCCATTCAGTAATGAGCGCTCGACCTACTGGGAGACATATGCCCATGCCGTGGCGCTACATGGCGCTCCAAGTGATTAAGGCAAATTTCCAAGTGCGACGACTTATGCCAACTTCCATCAGCGAAATGTTGGGACATACAAGTACGTTGTGACATGGGCCACCGCCTTGGCCGCGCTCATAGACAGCGCAAGAGATCTGGCGATCACATTTCAGTTTCCGACGACGACGTTCGACGCAGCATGAAGTTAGGCGCTCATGGGACCTTTTGTTGGTGAAAGACGCGAGATTGAATTGCTTGGTCTCGCCGCCTCGGGCCTCGGCCAGTTGGAAGTGTGGCTTAGCAGACTAGCTGCGCCACGCTCGTGGCTTGAGTCATTGTGGGGATTACGTCAGTCGACAGGGGCGCCGCGCCACGGCAGGAGCAGCCCACCTTGAAGCTCAAGCTTGGTGCCAGGCCGTGAGCGGCAACCTCCAACGTTACGCGCAATGTCGCTGACGACGTTGTCCTGGTTTCCATCGACAAGCTTGTCATCCCTCATTCTCTGATGCTCCTGGCATTATTATGCTGCGGCATCAACGATCTCTTGCCTTCTTGAACAATTCAGTTACTGCTGGTGGCATTCGCTCCTCGCTCAATTAGGCCCGAGCCTCCACTAGCTGCCTTGTCCGTAAGCTCTCCCGCCTTTGAAGCTAACAAAGGCTTCGAGGCCTCGCATGGCAGCTGCTGCTACCACTCGCGCGCCACCCATTCTTTGCAAACCTCCGTCTCGCTTACGCTACGAGCAGCGCGGGCCCTCGGCCTTGTTACCTGCAGCCTCAGCAGCTGCGGACCCCGCTATCCATCGCCGTCAGCATGGGCATCAATCCGAAGCCCGCTGGTGCACCAGACCCGAACTACGAGCCAAACCAACCGACCCAGCAGCTCCAAAGGCAGGAGTCTTGGGAGGTCTATTCGGACGAGGACGAAGAGCCGGCAACGGGCGCCGCCAAGCCCGCCGCGCCTACATACAAGCCATATAGACCACCTGGAGCCGGGGACGATCATGCACCACAAGAGAGTGGGACGACCGCGTCAGCGACAGGCGAGCAGATTCCAAACAGCCTGCGACCGGGCGGTGGACGAGCGCAGACCAACCCGTTCCTGCGCGACCCTTCACCATCGTCTACGAAGCCTGATATACCAACCGAGCCACTGGCGAAACTGAACATCAACCACACCGGCGCGAGCTCAAATCCATGGCGAGGGCAGGGGCCTGAGCGAACGCAAACCACGACCTCGTCCAACTACGCAACACCGCCCACCACAGTCACGTCCGAGCCGAATCCGTGGGCGCAGGAATCCGGCGGTAATATCGCATACTCTCCCGCTTCCGCCACGGGTCTTGACCGGGCAAGCAACCAACAAGGGCTGTACAAATCGCCAGCACCAGTCGACGATAGCCCGTGGGGAGCTCCATCTACGAGCGCATCGCAGGCGCCTGCACAACTACCGCCTCTGCCACCTGCGCCTGGAAGTCTTCCACCACCACCTGTACTACTTCAGCCCCCGCAACAGCCGTCACCACAACCATCACAGTCGAGCTATGGGGAGGACAACCCATTCTTCGGCCAGCAGTCCAGTGTCTCACATCTATCGAGATCTCCGTCGCGGTCACCTGACGTAGTATCAGCCCCATCCGATGATGGCTCGGGATATGTTGACGTCGGTAAGGAAACGACGCCTCAGGCCCCGCAGTTGCCTCCCGTCGAGCAGGATCTAGACAGAAGCGCGGGAGGTTCCAACATTGTGGACGCCAACGACAAAGGCAAGGGCAAGGCAGCTGGCTCTCAAATTGATGAGTGGCGGCTGGTGGACGAGGGCGGGACATCTGCATCAGCACAAGGGAGCGGTGCTGTGGGCGGGCAACCGCCTCTGCCGCTCCGGAAGTTGTCTGGCGAGACCCCGGGAGCGAACAACAGACCACCTGTTGATGCGAAAACGGAAACGTACCAGATCAAGAACATCAAATGGCACGATGCTACAACCTCGCAGCAACCCCGCGTGTCGCCCATCCTGATTCAGAATGCCAACGGACCATGCCCGCTGGTGGCCCTGGTCAATGCACTCACAATGACCACCCCGCCCGACGCTAGCGACACGTCCTTGGTCGAAGTCATGCGGTCGCGCGAGCAGATTAGCTTGAATTTACTACTCGACGCGGTATTTGAGGAGCTCATGTCGCCTCGGCGGACGGACGCCGATGGCGCCCTGCCAGATGTGGGAGACCTGTACGCTTTCTTGATGGGCTTGCACACAGGGATGAACGTGAACCCGCGGTTCATACCGTCTCCGGCCATTCGGACGGCATTCGAGCGGACGTCTCTGACACACTTGGACGCGGCCGACCGAGCGAACTTGATCCCAGGAACCTTTGAAAATACGCACGAGATGGGGCTGTACGCGACGTTCAAGATTCCGCTGATCCATGGGTGGCTGCCGAGGCCAGAGGATCCCGTGCATGATGCGATGGAGCGCCAGGCTCCGTCGTATGAGGACGCGCAGAATCTGCTGTTCCGGGAGGAGGAGCTCGAGCATAAGCTGTCATCCGAAGGACTTTCGGGACAGGACCAGCAACTATACCAGGACTTGGTGTCCATCAAGGGCTTTCTCGAAGGCTCTGCGACGCAGCTCACGGCCTGGGGCATCCAGGTCATTTCCAAAGCGATCCGGCCTGGCACGTTTGCGATTCTCTTTCGCAACGACCATTTCAGCACACTATATTGCCATCCACAGACAAAGGAGCTGGTGACGGTGGTGACTGACGAAGGGTTCCGATCACACGAGGAAATTGTGTGGGAGAGTCTCGTTGACACCAGCGGTCGCCAGACACAGTATTTATCGGGTGACTTTGGGGTTGTGGGAGACGGCGCGTCGTCGACATTTGGTGGCTTCTCGGAGGATCAAGGTTCTGGATGGACCACCGTGGAAGGTCGAAGAGGAGGCCGTGAGCAGCAGGGCGCGCCCAACGAGGCGCCCCTCTCGCCCATGGAGCAAGAAGATCGCGACCTTGCCCTTGCTCTGCAGCTCCAAGAGGAAGAGGACCAGCGCCACCAGCAAGAGCAGGACCGCCGAAGGCAAGAGCAGAACCTGTCGAACCAATACATCGAACAACAAGGTCGGCCGGCGGCCATGGCGAACCGTACCCCCGGGCAAGCGCTCCAAGGCACGCGATCTGTGAGTTCTAGGGGCAGCATCGCTCCAGCACGGACGAGTTCATCTCAGCCGAGCTTGGCGGTACCCTCTCCGAACACGCAAGCGCCACGACAACCCCCTCGTCCGACAACGCAGACTGTACGGTCCCTGGTGCCTCCGCGCCGCTCAGGTGCCAACACGCATCGCCCGGCGGCGGCTGGGGCAGATGCACCACCGCCCTATGAGCTGGCAGCGCATGATGAGCCCTTCAACCCGCCGCCAGGGCACCCCGCTCACGCGACGAGTACCAATACATCGACGCAGAGCAGCGATGCGGTGCCGCCACCACAGCCGGCGAGGCCAGTGAGGACGAGTAATGCATCGGGGCCTGGGACGAGGCCGTCGCACATGGTATATGGAGCGCGCGAGCGGGACCGGGATTGCGTGGTGATGTGATGCATGCGTCTATTTTCTTGGGATGGAGTTGTCTGGTACTGTTATACCATGATTTTGATGAGCGATTATGCATGATGAGTACGTCTGTTGGAAGAATTATACAAGAGGCAGCCTTAGTGGTTTTGAAATGGAAACTATATCCCATGTGGGATTCTTTATAGGTGCTGTGCGACCTTGTGATACTTGTACAAGCTCGGACTCGTCATCTGACGCGTCTCAGTCTCGTTGCTTGATTCGATAAATATTGGACTAGTCCTAGTAAAAGATGAAGCCTGCGGATATTTCTCAACTTACACTGCCCCTCCATACCAAAGGCCTCTGTGTGCGTCAAAAACAGCTGATGAATCGAGGCAGTGAGACGAAGCGCAACTATAGGGTAGCCGTATCACTAGCGGTGACCCCTGTGATGATCATCGACATCATTGACTTTTTGCTGGCTTCATCATTAACCAAAACATCTTTTCGCAGCTAAATACACGCAAGGCTGCCCAATCCCACGAGCACACAGGCTTTTCACAAAAGATATCCCCGCCAGCCGCATGATGAGCAGCATTACCGGTGCCCTCGTCGGCTGGGTGCCCCCAACACGCGCACGCTATGAAACGATTCTCAAGCTCTGGCAGATCATCATGCCGTCCGTACGTTGCGCCTAGAAGAATTCCCACCTCTGAGCCGAGTCCAGTACTAACACCGCCTCCTACCAGTTTGCCAGCATCCAATGGCTGACCAAGTGGAACGGCATGGGCAAAACCTCGCAGCCCTCCATGTTCAACCTCCCCGGCCGATGGGCGTGGTTCTTCATGGAGATCCCCGGCTTCCTCACCGTCCTCTACTGCATGCGCACTCTACCCGCACAGCTCGGTCTCATCGCGCTGCCGTGGCAGAACAAGCTGCTCGGCGGGCTCTACGTGCTGCACTACCTCTACCGCGCCGTGGCCTTCCCATTCCTGCAGCCGAGCATCAACAACATGCACATCCTCAACGCATCCAGCGCGCTCATGTTCCAGATCACGAATGGGGTGTGCCTCGGCAGTTGGCTCGGTGGCTATGGCCCCGTGACGCAGACGCAGTGGGCAGGGCACGTGTCGGCGACGCAGTTTGTCGGTGGCGTGGTGATTTTTGGTCTGGGCCTGGCGGGCAATTACTTTCATGACGAGCATCTACGCGATATCCGCCGCAGGGCGAGGGCCAGGCAGGCCAAGACGGCAGATGGAGAGAAAAAGGCGAAGCGGACGTATGAGATCCCCCAAGCGGGACTGTTTAAGTATGTCTTTTATCCGCATTACCTGTGCGAGTGGGTTGAGTGGTTTGGGTTCTGGATGGCGTGTGGATGGGGATGCGCGCCTGCCAGGGCGTTCCTTGTGAATGAGATTGTGTCCATGCTGCCCAGGGCGGTGAACGGCAAGGCGTGGTATAGGGACTACTTTGGAGAGGAGAAGACCAAGGGGAGGAAGGCTGTTCTCCCGGGGATATTGTAACATGCTGGCAGGCGGGATGCGTTGCCATGAGGAGAACATGGGTGGTGGTGGTGGTGGTGGTGGTCCACAACATGATATTGTCAGGGCACAGGAATAGCTTGTCATATGATAAGGGTAAAATTCATTCTATGGAATCAAAGGGGTATTCAAGCAACCGGTCACCTCTCAGGCGGCTGGTACAGCGACTCGCGTTTGCCCGCGCCAGACACACGCAGCTGCCAGCTCGGACTGGGCGCCACGGCGTTCCTCACCACATCGTCCTCGCCACGGTTCCTCGTCGAGCTTGCCTCAAAGTCCTTCTGCACCTTGATTTCAATGCCGCCAGCGTGGGCGACCCGCTTCGTGTGGTGCCCACGCTCCTCGTCATACTCCGACTCCACCAGTGTGCGGTCGTCGGAATGTACATGCATGTTCCGCTTCTGCTCGAAGCTGCGGAGATGGATGTTGCCGGACCTGTCCCGGGACGGCACCACGTTCTCACGGGACCGCTTGGCCGAGTCGGAGAAGGATGTGATGAGACGGGGAAAGAGGCGGACAAAGAGCGGCTTGAGGGCGGGCACGCAGGCGCAGAGGATGGCGACGTTGATCTCGAGACCTGACCGGAGGGCAATGTCGACGCCAGTGACTGGGGCAGGTCAGCGGGTGCTAAAAAGAACGTCCAAGAAGGGGTCAGCGTACCTGGCTGCAAGTCAATGGGCGACGAGTTGTTGATGTACAGCGCGTGGAGCCTGATGATGGCCACAATGCAGGCACTGCGAAGGTCAGCCGAGTCCAACAGACGGTATACAGAGAAACGCACAAGCCACCGCACGCAAAAACACCAATGAGGACGTATTTGGCCCTCCTCGCAATCTGGATTCCGCTCAGAAACGGCATCGGGCTGACGAGCAGCACGATGTCGTTGAAGATGTTGATGCCCGCAAAGACATAGTGCAGCGTCATGCGGTCAATGCAACCACCCGCAATGCTGTCGTTCCAGTACTTTGCAATCGGCCAGCATGTGATCACCGTGCTCGAGAAGCAGAACAGGCCGTACGCGGCCAGATACAGGATGAGACCGAGGAAGAGGCGCTGGGCCGTCTGCACCTTGAAGATGCGGCGGCACTGGAAGAGGATGCTGAACTTGACGGAGAAGTGGGTGACGGTGTAGGCGATGATGGTCGAGTAGAGGGATTGCAGGAAATTGGGGAGCACGGCATAGTCGACGCCGTCACCCAAGCCATATCGGATTTCTGTTCTCGTCTGTTAGTCGAGGGGGTTCACGACGGTACAGGGGGAGAAAGCACGTACGCTCCATGACGGATATGAGGAAGCCAAGAGTGCCCAGCTACGATTGTCAGCTATAATATCTCAAAAGACGGGATGTGGGCAAACTCACAGCCGCCAGGACGATGAGTACATCGTCTGCGCCCACATTTTGCACCAAGGCCGATCGTGTGTAGATCCTCATGATGACCGCCAGCAAAGCCATGGTGGTGAACAAGAACGACGACACGACAAGGCCATAGTTGCGCGGCACAATCTCAATGTCGGCCACGTACATGATGACGATCGGTGCCTTGCAGCCAGAAGCAAGCAAGTAAGCATGCAGACAAGTGAAGAGATTCGTTCACGTCCTCTCACAAACAGCGTGGGGCGTGGCCTGCTCTTCAAGAAGCGCAGCAGGTAAATGCAGGTCCATGTATGTGTGTGTGTGTGTGTGTTCACTCATCCATGCGCGCAGCGGCCTGCCCTACTACTTACATGTCTCTCTTGCTTACCGTCGTAAACTCTATGCCAAGGTCCGTTCTCATTTGGAGCGGCAGTTAGCTCCATGCCAGCAGAGAGAGAGACCTGTGAGGAAGACCATGACTGAGGCTGATGGCTACCTCCTTGCTTCTTTTGGTAAATCCCCCGTCCAGCGGAACATGAGATGTCTCTGCGCTTTGGCTGTCATACTAGTATATGGCACCCGTCATATAGGCCTGATTCCGCAAAGCTGACGAGAAGCACGGTAGTTGACCTGCCGGGGCGGGAGATGAGGGTGTCTTGCCTCTTGGGTCCGGGAATGCGGATTACATTCCAATGTCTCGTTTTGCCGGTTGGTCCATCCCCGCGAAGTGGTCACTTCTGTCTGGGAACGGCGAAGTCGGGCTGCGAGGCCCGCTTCATCCTTGGCAGGTCTTTGGAAGCCAGAGTGTTGTTTTTGCGAGGAGGAAATGAGCCCATGCACGAAGGCCGCCTATTGGCAAGCCATACTAGGCGATGGCTTGATCTTGGCGTATGAGAGAGAATTGCGGGTGGAAGCTGCGACAAGAGTCAATATGTCTCAGTCAGTACAGCTCTCCCTTCCCAGAGCAGGCTTGGCTGCCAAGTCTCTTCTAGGAATGTTTTGTTCTTGTCCGCCTCTCCCATGCTTCTTTGAAGCAGCACACTGCTCCAAGGTTGTGCATGGTTTGTCTGAGAACAACCCGTGTCATGGTTCGAATGGAGCATGCCTCGATTGAACCATTCGGGCTGGATCTCCGAGACTCACGATTCTTTGGATCAAAGATCTGCATAAGCACATGATAGGAACGGTACATATTCACGCTGGCAGAGTCTTTCTGTTTTGACATGACGCAGGCTGGATCGAGGAGGGGCTTATACAAACAAAGCTGACTGCGCGGCAAATGATTACTCGAATTAGAATAAAGCAGATACAAGAATAGGCAGGCCCGCCTGCTCGCTAGCTAACGCCTCCATGTCTCACTTCTCAGAGTCGCTCGACACGTCGCGTCTCTCCAGGCTCGCATCGACCGCGTTGTTGAACTCCTTTTCCGGATCGTACAGCCAGATGGACGCCACCATGGCCACCACGACAAATGCGCCCCCTGTGATCCAGATATTGCGAAAGGCCACGACGTATGTGTCCAGATACGCAGTGTTTCCCACATTGATGACCTTGTCAGTGACAGTAGACACCGCGTCCAGCGCGGTACGGTTGTGGGCGGTCAACGCATTGATGAAGTCGGGGACGTACTCTGGTTCCAACCCTGCCGCCACGGCCGCAGTACCAATATTCCGGGGCTGGTGCCGCATCTGTTCCTGGAAGAGGGCATTGTAGATGGCGATACCGATAGTGCCGCCCAGAGACCGCACACTGATAATCAGACCACTCGCAATGGCAATGAGCTCAGGCGGCGTGGAGAGCTGGGCGACGGTGATCAGCGTCGTGAGCGTCATACCGAGCGCCATACCCAAGAGAACAGGATAGCCCCAGACAGGCACATTGGTATGGCGGTTCGTAGAGGCCATACAGGCGAAGAAGATGACAAAGATGGCGAAAGCCAGCACGGTGATCCATCGAACTCTCCTCGTCTTTGCGCAGTACAGGCCTGTCAAAGCGGCGCCGACCATGGACGCGATGAGCATGATGGAGTACCGTGCGCCCACCAGGAGAGCATCCTTTTCGTACAGGACACTGACCTGAAAGGCGAAATACGTGTTCGCTGCGAAAAAGGCCACGCCCTCGGCGAACACGCAGAACAAGGCGATGAAGAAGTTGCGGTTGCCTGTAAACAGACCATGGTGGAACATGCCGTCCTTCTTGCACCATATGGCGTACACCACCAGGAGCAGCGCGAGCAAGAGGCCGACGGAGAACGTAGCGGACACGTGAGGGTCGCTCCAGGCGTAGGGGGCTTTGGACCAGGACAGGCCCAGGCAGAAGAGGATGAGGCCAGCTGCGAGGAGAAAGTAGCCGATCCAGTCGAGCTTCTGCAGCTTCTCGAGGGTCCGCCCCCTGAACTCGCGCTGTTTTTCTGTCTGGGGCGGGTTGTACGCGACAACGCAGAGGATAGCAGCGGCCACGTACCAGCCCGTCGCCATGTAAAAGTATGTCCTGAACCCGTCCTTTGCTGTGTCGTTTGCGCGGTTCAGGGCACCTCCCACCAGGAGTCCGGTGATGCTGCCCAGCGCATTGGACACCATGTTGGCGGCCTGTCCATAGCCTCTCCATCGCCTGGGCAGAACCTCCGAGGTGATGGCGTGCAACAGGGGTTGCGCCCCAAAGGCAATGCCGATGACGCAGAAGCCAGCAATGCACATGTTCATGCTGGTGGCCGTCGCAACGATGACACTGCCCACGCCTCCGGCGAGCGTGAGAACGACGAGGAACCATTTGCGGCCCCAGTAGTCCGTGGCCTGGGAAATGGGGGGTCCCAGAACCACAGTGAGGATGGTGATGGTGGCAGAGAACCATGACACGCGTTCGCGGTCATTGAAGTAGCCTGCGATGGTTTGGCCTTGCTGTTTGATATCAACGACTGCACTCTTCAAAGATGTTGGGATACTTACTGCACCGGCGCCCACCAGGGACACGAGCTGTGCAAAGTAGATCAAGCACACGGCGAGCACGGCCAAGAATGTCTTGACGGTGATGCGAGGCGTAATGTCCTCGTTGAGTGTGCTGCCATCGCTCAGAGGATGGTCATGATGATCGTGGGCCAGGGTGCACATGCGTTTCCGCTCCTCACTTGGGTTGGCGACACGATCTGAATCCGACATGGTGCGGTGTCTCGACGATCCCAGCAATGGTTCTTGGGGCAACGAGATGACTTTGTCTGAGGAGGGCCAGGGGGTTGGAGGAGAAGGAAGAGAGGATGGGGAGAGAGCGGCAGATCGGTCGAGTCATTAGGTAGATATCCAGAAGTTAGTCGGTCCCGAAGCTCATCGTGTATATGGCAGACTGTGCCTGGTTCTCGGGCTTCGGGTGCGTGGAGAAGCTTGACTGTCCGTCAGGTTGTCTCACCCGAGATGCATGGCAAGGGATGCGATGCCACGGTTGGACATGTGGCTTCCCACCCACAGACGGCGATCCGGGCGCACGATGTCTCGGACGCGGAAGTTATAGGCGCAGGGTCAGGTCCAGCCCTGTCAAGGCTCGCTTCTTGAGATTGATAATCAGCCTCTGGGCTGCTTATTTCTCCCTTGAACGCGACGTGTCCTAAGCTGTGAAGCTGACCCAGGTGCACGTTGCTACCCGCACGGGAAATGAAACCATCTGTGGTTTATTTACAGCTGTCAAGATCTTTGAAAGAGACATTCTGGTCATTTGGCTGATTGCTAGTCGGGCATTCGATCAGGTGGCAAAGGGGCGCAGACAAGCCTTACGAATGCCACTCTGAACTGAGACCACAGGAGAAGTCTGGCGCTGCTGGAATGGCCTACTGCATGTCGCGACCACGCTCACTGCTGTCTCACGCGCGCTCTTCTCTCGCGCGTCGCGCAAGCGGCTCTCGGGCTCGAGATACGCTGTATGTCTCACCATGATGCGATGCACGGTAGCTGACATGCAGGCCACACATGGTCCCCGATGAGAGATGTCGGTCATGCAAATTGAAGGCAAGCAAAACTCCGAGATTGAGAGTTGAGACTCCAAGGCATCACATCTGCCGTGAACCCGATCACATGTAGGTGCATGATCGCAACAGTGACACGACTCACACGAGGCAACTCTGTGCTACATGAATGCGCTGTCCAGCCGCCTTGTCGCGGGGTAGTTCTTTGAATCCCATGCTCTTTACTTGTCCTCTAATAAATCTGATTCCCTCCAACATGAAAGTCATCGTTGTGGGCGCTGGCATAGCCGGCCTCACGGCTGCGCTGTCTCTGCGTCGTGCCGGTCACTCTGTCCACGTCTTTGAGCGCTCCCAGCTGCTCCACGAGATTGGCGCCGCCATCTACGTCCCTCCCAACGCGACGAGGTTCCTCACAGCCTTTGGACTCGATCCCACGGCTTTGGGGTTCGTGCAGCAGAAGCGTGCGTCCCTGGTCAACCGCCACACGCTCGAGTCCGAGGTCGAGCTGGCCAACAGTGAGACGGCCATGAAAGTGGGCGGCGCGAAGCTGTGGTATGCGCATCGCGTTGATCTGCATTCGGGCCTGAAGGACCTCGCAACGGGTCGGGGCGCTGGGACGAGAGTTGAGATCCATGCTGGGCAGCCTGTGGTGTCCTATGTACGTTTTGGCGGTGTGATGCGTATGACTCGGAATAGCGCTGACGGTGCAGAACCCTGACACACCATCGATTACTCTGGAGAATGGCACTGAAGTTACGGGCGATCTTGTTGTGTGTGCCGATGGCGTGCGCTCCGAGGCCACCCAGGTCGTCCACGGCCAGCCTGTTGCGCAATGCGACCCCCGACCTATGAACTGCGCCTATCGCTTCCTTGTTCCCGCCGATGTGCTGGAGAAGGACGACAAGACCAGCTGGTTCAATGAGAGCTGTGACGGATGGACGAGAATTTTCGCTGATGTGTCCGCTGACAAGCGACTGGTTTCCTATCCGTGCCGGAAGTAGGTCTTGGAGTCCTGCTGCGTGATGTGAGCTGACTTGCAACAGCAACACTATTCACAATTTCGTTCTCTTGGTGTACGAGCCGAGAGGAGACGGTGCAGTAGAAGGTACGTGGCACAGGTCTTTGGCAGCAACTATATCATTGACCTGGACAGACTGGAAGGCTGGCGTGCCAGTGGAGGAGGTCCTGGACAAGATTGCCAGCTTCTCGCCCCGATTAAAAGAGGTCGTGAAGTAAAGACGACCGCTGTATGTGTCCTTCGTCAAGCTGACAAGAAGCAGCAAGACGACAGAGGTCAAAAAGTGGCCACTGATCTACCGCAATCCCATACCAAGATGGTCAAAGGGGTGCATGACGCTCGCAGGTGACGCAGCGCATCCCATGCTTCCACGTGAGTCCTCGAGTACACCCAATGTCGAAAGCGACGATACCAACTGAAGGCAGATCAGGGGCAAGGCGGAGCGCAAGCCCTAGAGGACGGCGTGGCTCTGGGCATAGTCATGCATGGCGCGACAGACGCATCCGACATTGAGGCGCGACTGGCGATTTATGAGAACGTCCGTCGTAATCGCGCCTCGGCCATCCAGACGCTCAGCAACGTCGGTCAGGACCAGGTCCGGATGATCAGCCATCAACTGGCCGAGTACATGGCGCCTGAACAGATCCCAAGTAAGTTTCTCGTAGCTGCGCCTGACGATGCCGTTTCGCTGACAAGACATGCGCGCGTAGAAACACCCAGCGACATCTTCCAGTACACATACGGCTTCGATGTGGTGAGGGAGACACTGGACGCCATGAGGAATTACCAGCCTGGCTTCCAGCTGCCTCACGACTTTTTTGAGAGCGAGGTCCTTGGGGTTCCGGGTCGACACATTGCGCAGTCGTGGTTGGGCTGGTGTCGCGGCGTGCTTAGGAATTGGATCGTGCCGGCAACTCGTACAGCCGTTGCATGATGGGTAAGGACCTAGGAGGATGGGATACGCGGATCTTGGTTCGGTACTTTCGTTATCCGTGTAGTATTTCGCGCTTATTGTTGATCTGTCCCGGCCGGCCATTGTCTTACCCGCGCCACTGCCAAGCCAAGCAACGCGCGCCTCCACACAGTTGATAGTGCCGTCCTGCCAAAAAAGACAAACAATTGAGAATCATGGCCAGATAGGGTCAGTTTCGGCACTCAAAGGGGTTCGTTTGGTGTCGCCATTTGCCGACCCCTGGCTGACGTGAAATACCGCGTGTCGGTGTGGTGGACCGTCCAGCGACTCCAGACTGCGAGTGCGAAAACAAGCTTTCACTAAAAGGATGTTCCTCGAACCCCTGCAGCCAGTAAAATGAGGTCATGCTAGTTGCATATAGCACACCACGCCCGACCTCGTCGTGCTCTCAGTCTTTCACGGCACGTCGCCAACCCGATGATTCTTATTAGAATACTGTGCTCTCTCGGCACAGTTGCCGGCGCTGATGTCTTAAATGTCTCTTCTTGAGGTCTAGTGTTATGAATCTCTGGCCGTGTGGGTGTAAAGGGCCAAAGGTATAGACGCCTTGTGGCCTATGAGTATGATCTTGGCCTTGGCGTGCGGCAGCTGACGTACGCGTCCCAGGAAAATTGGCGAAAAGAAGAGTATGTCTTGGTAAAATCGACCATTGCGCCGTTGAACTTGACAGCCTTCACACCTGGCGACTACAGTCCAGCGGACCAACATGTCTCCCCCCCGCGAAGAGCATCGCGCCTCGTTTGCTGACCATCCCATCCGCTCAGCTGACAAGATCACCTACCTCTCCGAAGACGAGATCAGCCAGTTCCTCGATGACCTGGACAGGGATGGCGACGGGTACATCAACTATGCCGAGGTCGAGCACAAGCTAGACCAGGCGCACGACGAACTCGTCCCCAAGCCAGCCGCGCACAACATCTTTGCCTCACGACGACCAGCCAAAGACGACAAGGAGGGCCTCGACGGGACCAACAAGGCGCGCCATGCGTTCCTCCGGCAGATTATGGGCGGCCAGGACACGGACAAGATCCCGCGCGACGAGTTTGCCCAGCTCATGCGGGACTGGAAGATCCCCAGCCTACAGCAGGCCAAGAAGGAGGAGGAGGACGAGAAGGGGTACTTTCGCAAACTACCCAGCTGGCGCAAGGTCCGCGCCTACTGGGCCGTACACGGACCCGAGATTGTCTTCCTCGGCCTCGTCGTCGCCATGCAGCTGGCGTTCGCCGTCTGGCAGCTCGTCAAGTACCTCACGACGCCGCCCTACACGGCCGGCTTTGGCTGGGGCGTCGTCCTGGCCAAGACGAGCGCGGGCGCCCTGTACCCGACCTTCTTCTTCCTTCTGCTTAGTATGAGTCGGTACTTTTCGACCTTGCTGCGGCGGTCCTACCTCGTCTCGCGCTTCCTCAACTGGGACCTGAGCCAGGACTTTCACATCCGCATCTCGTGCGTGACGATTGTCCTGGCGAGCGTGCATGCTGTTGGGCATCTGGCGGGCTCGTTTCGGTATGGGAGCATGGATAGTCGCCAGGACGCGGTGGAGGCAGTGCTGGGCCGGCGTATGCACTATATCGACTTTGTGCGCACATTGCCCGGGGTCACTGGTCTCACCGCGCTCGGGCTCATGTACGTCCTCTCGCTGTTGAGCATCCCCCCGGTTCGACGATGGAACTACGAAGTCTTCCAGCTCGGCCACCTGCTCATGTACCCCATCGTCGGGCTCATGATGGCCCACGGGACGAGGGGCCTCTTCCAGTGGCCCATGTTCGGCTACTTCCTCGCCTTTCCCATGCTGCTCATCCTCGTCGAGCGCTTCGTGCGCATCGTCCTCGGCTTCTACCACATCACCGCCACGCTCAAGGTCCTCGACGGCGAGACGGTCGAGATCACGACCGACATCCCCACCGAGAGGATCTGGAAGTACAAGGCCGGGCAGTACATCTTCCTCATGGTGCCCGCCCTCTCCTACTTTGAGTGGCACCCCTTTACCGTCTCCTTTTGCCGCGGCAAAAAGATGAGGGTCCACATCAAGACGGACGGCAACTGGACCGCGAAGCTGCGCGGCCTGGGCGGTGAGTCGGGCCAGAGCCAGATCAAGATCGCCATCAACGGCCCCTTTGGCGCCCCCGCCCAGCGCTTCTACGACTTTAGCCACTCTGTCATCATCGGGGCTGGGATAGGCGTCACGCCCTTCTCGGGCATCCTGGCTGATCTGCAGTACAACGACGACCTCGACCACGGTGGTCCCAGCCACAACAGGCCCGTCCCGGAACAAGATGTCACCAAGATTCCCGAACAAGAAGAGAAGAGCAACGACCCTCCCCAGTCAGAGAACCGTCCACGCCAGGTAACGCCCGACCTCATCAGCAGAGCACGCAACCCCCAGCCTACGCGCGCCGCCAGCTTTGCAGACGACTACCGCCGCGTCGACTTTCACTGGATGGTCCGCGACAGGAATTACCTCCTATGGCTGTCCGACCTGCTGAACGAGGTCTCCCTGTCGCAGGTCTGGCACCGCGCCCACGAGGACCACGCCCACCTCGACATCCGCATCAACACGCACGTCACGGCCAAGCGCAACGGCATCGTCACACACGTCTACCGCTGGCTTCTCGAGATGCACCGCACGGAGGACCATCCGGCCAGCCCGCTCACGGGGCTTCTCAACCCGACGCACTATGGCCGCCCGGACTTTGACCTCATCCTCGACGAGCACTATGCGGAGATGGTCGCGTACCGCGCGAGTCTGCGCCAGGCAAGACAAGAACATGAAGGTGATGCCACGAGAGACGACTCGTCGAGCGAGAGCACACAGGAACTGGAGGACGAGGAGTTCAAGGTGGGCGTGTTCTACTGCGGCGCACCCGTCGTCGGGGAGATCCTCGCAGATAAATGCGCCGAGCTCACGACACGGGGACGCGAGGACGGGACCAAGATTGAGTACCACTTTATGATTGAGGTGTTTGGCTAGGCTCTGCCATGTCTTCTTTTTTATCTTAGATACTTCCCCCCTATTGCACTTTGCCTCTCGTGTCGACGGGCCATATCTCCCGAATCACACCACCCTCGTGCGCATAGTACACATCGTGCAGGTTGATAGTCGGATCAATGTGACTCGGGACCATCTCGACGCGATCACCCACATCCAGCGGCGGCGTGCCCTCCTCCCAGCGCAGACTACCATGCTCGTCGCCCAGGCAGCCGTATGTGTACCTCTGGTCCTTGCACTCGGCCAGCCCGCTGTCCGTCGTCAGGCTCTTGAGCCCCGTGTCGATGGTGACCTGGCTGGGCGTCTGTTTGCTGACGACCGTCGCCAGGATGGTCAGCGACTGATCGTAGCGTCCGGCCCCAATGGCGTTGCGGTAGTCCGTGTCCATGAAGATGAAGCTGCCCGGCTGCAGCTCCGTCACGCCCGGCACCGTCGCGCAGAACTCGGCCGTGCCTGTGCCGCCCGTCGTGACGACCTGGATGTCGTGGCCCTCACTGCGCAGCGCGTCGGCTGTCGATGTGAGAATGGACATGGATGCGAGACACTGTGCCTTGCGCTCCTCGTCCCCGTGTACATGCTGCAGGTGGCCCTCGTAGCCTTGCACGCCGATGAGCTTGAGTTTGGGAAGCGTGGCAATGTGCGCCGCGAGCTGCGAAGCGGGCTGGCCGGCGTCGATACCCGTGCGACGCAGACCGACGTCCAGATCGATGAGCACGTTGAGCGGTTCAAGGGGGCCGTTCTTCTCATCGTCCTCCACCAGGGCGTCGTTGATGGCACTCGCGCCCTTAATACTGTCCACCACGATACGCAGCTGTCTGTTCTTGCGGTACAGCGCCACGAGACGCTTCACCTTGGCGGCACCGACAATCTCGCAGGTAATGAGGAGGTCCGTGAAGCCGCGCGCCGTCATGACCTCGGCCTCGCTCAGCTTGGCGACGCACCCACCCTTGGCGCCCGCGTCGACCAATTTCTGCGCGAGGATGGCGGATTTGGTCGTTTTGAGATGGGGACGGATGTTGCGCCCCGTGGGGAGCAGAGTAGCAAAGAGCTTCTGGATGTTGGCGTTCATGAGGGGGATGTCGACGACCATGGAGGGCGTGTCGAGGGAGGAGATGGGGTCTCCCACCTTGGGCGCGTATGAAGTCATTTTCCCAGTGCTTCTTCCTTTCTCTGTTATGGGTGATTATTTTTGAGATGTCATCTGAGACTGAGACGTCCTGAGAAGTGCTGACGAAGATGCTGGTACGTAGTGTAAACATGGAGACGAGGAGACGCCTCCGCGCATCGGACAACGGCTGTCCGAATGTGGATACCCGGGACCCTGATGTAGGACCCGGCCTGTTGGGATCCCGTCTGACAAGCTCCAATTCCTCAAGGTAACGTTGTAACACTTGCCTGAATCGGCACAGTGCGCGCGAAGATCAGAGGCAATCTGGGACTTGGTTAGGAAATCTGGTGTCGCTGTGCCGGAGCGAAGTCCGAATGATACCGATCGTCAGGTGGACACAAAGTTGGAGATATAGGATCAGCATCCTAGGTAGCAAACATCCACAGTCCGTTGTAGGCGATGACAAATACTGGCGGTGCAATCGACGCAGATACATTGTATGGTATGAGAGGGAAAGCATTTATCCATCGAGTGAGAATGGGGGAGTGAAGCAATCAGAGGAACCATCGGAACTCGGGCACGTTCGGCCCCTCCCTCAGCTTCAGCGTCGGCACATCCCTCGCCGTCGTCTTGACGCCAGCCTTCCTGTTCCTCCTCCAGTTGTCCCACGTCATGTAGCCGCCCAGCAGGCTCGCAATAAGACAGCCGCACATGCCGAAGACAGCCGTCGTGATCAGCGCAGTGGGGTACTTGGGCTTCTCCTCCTCCAGAAAGATGTTGCTCGACACCAGGCCCATAATGTTGGCCAGGGGCACGCCAACAGAGGTGAGCACCACACGACGGCCCTCGTGGGCAATGTTGTTGTTGTACCAGGTCGACAGCAGGACAGACGGCGCCGACGTGCCCCAGACCATCATGAACGTGGCAAAGTAGGCAACCTGCAGCTGCGCCTGGACGTCCGAGATGGACGCGTAGACAATGAATCCGATAAACGTCAGCGCGAAGCCGAGAATGATAAAGGGGAACCGAATCCTCAGAAAATCGGAGCTGAACGCCAGGATGAGCAGCATGACCGCGCCACCGACATTGGGCGCGACGGTGTAGAGATTCGTCTTGATGACACCGTAGCCCAGACGCGAGATAATCTGCGGCATGAACAGCGCGACGCTCTGGATCGGCACGCCGAGGCAGATCTCGATCATCAAAAAGGCGTAGGTCGTCGGGTACTTGAAGATCTTGATCGAGTCCTTTAGGTTGAACTCCTCGGACACGGTCGAGGACGAGTCGACCTGGATACGGTGAAAGGCGAGCGCCTTCTCTTCGGCGCCCAGGAAGCGTGACTCGGCCGCCGAGCGCGGGAGGTACCAGAACGCAAAGATGGCGAAGAGCACGGACGCAGCGCCTTCGATTATGAACAGGTAGCGCCAGACAAACAGCTTGGACTCAATATGGAAGACGCCAAACGACAGGAGGCCGGAGAACGCATTGGCAATGTTCGACGCCGCGTAGAAGACGGCCAGGCGTCGAGCGAGCTCGCCACGTCGGTAAAAGGTGGTGAGGTAGTAGATAACCAGTGGGAAAAAACCGGATTCGGCGGCACCCAGAAAGAAGCGCAGAGCAAAGAGGCCACCAAAGTTGTGTACGGCTGCCGAGAGGAGTGTCATGGAGCCAAAGACTGCCGGTGGTTAGCGACAGACGCACGACTAGTGAGGCGAGGTCACTTACTGAACATGAGAATGGGCAGCACGCGTGCAGGACCAAACTTCTTGCCAATGATGGCGACGGGCGGCGCGAACACCACATAGGGGACGAAGAAGATGGAGATAGTCAGATTATACTGGTGATCCTTAAAGTTGAGGTCTGCTGGTGTAAGTCGCTACCCAGTAGTGTCCCGCGAAGAGGACTCACCACGATCGAGGCCCGCGGTCTTAGCATGACCAAGGTTGCCCTTGTCCAAGGCATTGAATAGATCTGTTCCACCGGTCAGTTCAGATCAACAAGTCACGCCAATCGGTACCGCCGACTCACACATGAGGGCCAGCACTGGCATCAGTCGCACGTCAAACTTGCGGCACAGTTGCCGCTCGGCAATGTGGTCCACCACGCGAGCCGTCGACGCATCGTTGCGGTCCTCAACATCAACCGTGTCGTCAAACAAGGCATTCTCCTTGTCCTGGAGTGTCTGGTTGGTAACTTTGGACGCCATCTTGATGTGCAGTTACTCAAAAACAGTGTCGCCCCGGGAGAACAGAGGATATGTAAGTAAGAGGAAGAATTGACAGGTGACGGCAAAGTCAGCCATATCTGCTGTCGCTTTTGTATAAGATCCCCTGCCCCCGTCGTACCGATCCCCCAACCCCGCGTTATCTCTTGTTGTCGTTGAGAACCGTCGGACTGCTGATTGCCGTTGATTGCTGCACAGTGCCCCGATTACGGTGTTGCATGCATGCATGGCGGTCCCCCCGGCACACGTTGTACCGAACCACGATGCGGAGAAGACGGAACCACCGCCCAGCCAAGCTTCCTTCCCGGTTACTAGTGAGGGGAGAGCTGGAACAGAATGACCTCCGACCCAGGAAGACGCCCGGCTGGCCGATTTCGGGATGCCGATCGGGATGCTGCTCGGGAGACCGTAGGCCTCAATGTCGTATTTGTTCCTGGATCCCAACGAACGTCCGTCAGCGAACAACTGCCATAGTCTGCCAAAGCATCGTTGCATCTCCTCATTATAGCCAGCCCACCATGACCAGCCAACCACCCTACCCTATCCATGAGAGCATCCTGCCCAGGCTCGATGCCCAGTACAGGGATTTCTATAATGAGCACCTCGTCAACAAGCAGCAGGTCCATCTGCAGCCTGTCGCGGCGTCACGCGTCGGCGGAACTCTCATCCCTGGCAGCGGTCCATTGCAAGAGGTCGCTAGCACTGTTGACTACTCCCTTCCACGGAAAGAGAGCCAGGGCCCCGAGGTCAAAGTGAGATGCTTCACACCGTTGGGCGAGAAACCGGAGGGCGGCTGGCCCGTGTGCATCTTTTTCCACGGCGGCGGCTGGGTGCTCGGAAACATCGATACGGAAAATGTCATTGCGTCGCATCTGTGCTCCAGGGGAAAGAGCGTGGTCGTAGCAGTGGACTATAGGTGCGTAGTATCGGAAGACACCGATTCGATCATGGACTGACGACACTGACACGAGACAGATTGGCACCCGAAGACCCCTTCCCTGCAGCTGTCGAGGACGCTTGGGAGGCGACGCTGTGGGTGCTCAACGAGGGCAAGGAGATTCTGTCGCTCAACGTTGACAAGCTCGCTACTGGTGGCTCGTCAGCCGGCGCCAACCTTGCGGCCGTCATGTGCCAGCGCGCAGTCGCCCGGGGCACCAAGCTATTCAAGCTGCAGCTCCTCTCTGTGCCCGTCGCGGACAACACTGCAGACACCACAAACAACTCATCCTGGAAAGAATACGAGCATACGCCCGCTCTGCCCGCACCCAAAATGCTCTGGTACAGGAACCACTACCTGCCCAACAAGGAGGACTGGTCCAACCCAGAGGCGAGCCCGTTGCTGTGGAAGGGCGATTGGGCCAAGTTACCGCCCGCGTGCTTCGTCATCGGTGAGCTTGACGTCCTGCGGTCAGAGGGCGAGCAGTTTGCCGAGAGGTTAGAGGCTGCAGGCGTCAAGACTGAGGTCCATCTCATGAAGGGCCAGCCTCACCCGTTCATCGCCATGGATGCTGTCCTCGAGGCTGGCTCGAGAGCCATCACTGTTTTCTGCGAAGCCTTGTATAGAGTCGCATTTCAATAGACAGAAGGAGCTTCTTCCCCTTCTCCTTAGATTAGCTGAATCCATGACTCCGTCAGCCACCCATCTTTGGACTGTGCCACCTCTGCGACCTCGCCATGCATCACGTCAAAAGCGTAGGCCGACCCCACGACCTGGAAGCTGTTGTCCTTGTGGTTGTTTGACCGTAGTACCAAGGGCGCTGCTAAGCCGCTCACCACACAGAACTTATCTCCTTGCTTCATCGCATCGGGCCCAAGGCCCCAGATACCATGTTTGGACACGAATGTGGCCCGGTTTCGGCCGGCTGTGGCAGCGCAGTCCAAGAATCGATCGCTGCTACCTCCAGTGGACAGGGCCTCGAGGTCAGACACACTCATCGCCTGCTCCTGGCCTGGATCCGCACCCTGCTGTCGCTTGATCTTTCGCAGCCAGTCCAACGACCACCACAGCCCATTGCGAAGGATACATCGTGCATAATCAGCTACATGGCCCTCAATGTCAGACACGGGTGTGCCTTCCCAGACTTTGCCACAGCTCAGCGTGACAGCCAGCTGACTGAGGTCAATGGTTGTCAATCCACATGCGCGCAGCTCATCTCCCAGCATGGCTCTCTCTAACCGCGGCGGTGCTTTGAGGGTTGGGCTGCCCGGCCCGGAGCTCAGGTCAAAGTTGACGTGCTTCGAATAGGTGCTGGTGTCGCGCCCACGCCAAAACGTGTTATATCGGTCTAGCGAACGAGCGCTTTCGACCTCATCAACCCAGACCCCTCTCACCACAAGCTTCGTCGGATCTGGCTGCTTCAAGATTCTCGGGCGCAAAGCCGTACCGGCCGAAAAGTCAGCATGCGGAACCAGAGGCTCAATGGGATCCGATAGCGCTGTCTGCCACCACGGGACCCACGATGATCCATCCACAACGAGAGAAAGGCTGTTATTGCTGACGCGCATCTTATGTCGACCGTCGTGGTCGTGGTGAACTTGGCCCAGGAACGAGGCCGGTCCATCCATCTCAGCCAAGTGGCAAGCCACGGAATGGTTGAGCTGGGGCTCCTTCACGCCGTAATCGACCTTCAATCTGTTTGCGACGCCGTCCGCGTCAGCTGTCGGTACACCCAATAAGGCATAGATCCTGTCGTGCCCAATCCTGCACTTGAATTGCCGTGTGAGAGAAAGGAGCTGGTGAAAGAGCAGCTCAACGGGCTCAAAACATGACTGGGACTGCGATAGGCGATACATGAAGTATGCGCTCAACACGCCTTCTTCGACGATGGGTCTTTTGCCTTCCGGCCAGTCCCTGTGCCACACTCCGTAGAGACGGCCAAGATTCTCGCGGAGAATGGACGAACTCAGACCAATCCAATCCCACGATATTTCCTTGTCACTCTGCATCACGGTGACAGAGCGAGCAACGGAAACTTCTTGCAAAGACCAGGTACTGGTGAACCAGCTGCTTCGGAACACTTCAATGGCTGGCAGCCAGGCCTCACTCAGGGACCCGACGCAGCGCTGCTTGGGGCTCTGAAAACCAGGATCGGGCTTGGTTGAATAACTTGCCTCAGCGAGATGTTCTTCAAGCCCAGTTCTCGCCCGCCACGAGTTTACAACAGCACATATGCTGGCGAACCCTGTGTTATAGTTGCCAAGCCCAGCCGAGCCTAGCCATACAATAGTCCTGCTCGCGTTTTGTATGATTGTGGCCGCCAGCTTGGTGTGACGGTTGCGATCATTGACATCGGCAACGTCAATGCAGAGATGAGGCGCCCAAATGAGCCGTGAGCGTTCCGGCAGGCGGAGCGTTTCCAACAGTCGGATGAGTACCTCCCTGGACTGCCCTGAGCTTCCATTTATGACCATACGACCCTGATTCGGCTCAGCCGGTGCATGGATACTCTTGTCCGTGCTGTAGGACAGGTATTCGTAGCCGAGACGACAATCCGAGATTTTGGCCGTGTGAAGCCGGCATCTCAGCTCTCCCGAGTCAGCGGGGAGTATCTCCAGGAAGCGAGCATACTTTTCCGACGGCAAAGGCGCGAAGGGATAGGCACCTTCTTTTCCTGCTGTGGGATCCCCAATTACGGATGGTAGAAGAGGTACTTGAGGGGGTGTCAGAGGATGATGCATCGATCTGAAGTCGAAAGAACCGAGTTGCTCCTGGTCAAGCTTGGCGAAATTGAACAGACCCCTTTGAGGAATCCATCGACCTTTGCTTTTGTAGTAGTAGTTTCTCACTGCACATGGTGTCAGTCCGGCGCATCCACGTTCAAGTTCATCAGCGACGTACCGCCTCCAACAAAGACCTGGTCTTTCTCATCCTCCAGCTCTCGCCAATTGTCGTCATGATCAATGAGTCGATTGTCATCGCCATCAGAAGCGGTTTCCAACGCTCGAGCTTGCTCCATCTGGCACTGCTGGTTCGCCTCATATCCCTCAACGAAGGGATGTCGTGGTTCTGACATTGACTCGCAGCTCCTTTGCCACACCGGGTCTTTGGTAGTTGGCGCGCCCATCGAGATACACGTAGATCACGGTTGATGTAGAAAGCATAGTCAAGTATCATTCATCTTCGCCATGTGTACATCGAGTTCGATGTTACTGCGCGCCAATGGGGAGAGGTGCCGGCGACATGACGATTGACAAATATTGGGGGGGCTTAGCATCGGCATCGTGGCCGCATGCATGTACGGCAACCATACGTCAAGGCACATTGCGTCGGTTGGCTTCGCTGATGGTGGTGAGGAGTTGGTCAGTCAGCTGAGCTGATGGTGGTCGGCGCTACTGTGCGCGTCCTTCCCAGTTTTGCTCGTCCGTAGTCGCTCCTGCCCGCCCATCGTTCGCGAAGCGATATTGCATAAATATGTACAAATAATACACCTGGCGCGCGCCAATGAGTGCGTTGCTCAGCATGGTCGCCCCCAAATGCACCATTGCACAAATGTCCCACTAAAAACAACAGCAGGTGCGTCCGTCGGTCGCTTGCCTGGATAATCTAGGGTACGTAAAGTGAACCCTTCGACTACGCGCCAAACCGTGCCCAAGTACTATTACACATCAATGGAGTCCAATCCGACTACATTGAGCAGAACACCATGGACACCTTCTCAGTAGCCTCTCGTTTTCCCACACGCCGTCGCGTAGCCCAGGCCTGCGTCACATGCCGCGATCGGAAGACGCGGTGCGATGCTGCGCAGCCAAAATGCGGTTACTGCGCGAGGAACAACGTAACCTGCACTTATCGGGACTCTCAGCAGCCTCGCATCGACTACAACACCCAGGTCATCCTGGAGAGAATCCAATTGCTAGAAGAGCGCATCGCCAAAACAGCTGAAATACAACCTGACTTGCAGGTGCAAGATCGTACAAGCCCCTCGCTACCAGGGACAGCGCCTGGAGACTTCGACGTGCAGATTGCTCTCTCACATACAGCCAATGCGGATCATGTGTACAGTTGGCCGATCGTGCAGGAGCTTTTGAGCGAAGTGCCTCGTTCAGAAACCGACCAAAAACCAAAGGATGCAACAGATGTCTTCTTCGAGCATGACCCGCAAACAACTAGCATGCCTGAGACCTGGAGCCTCCTGAAAGATCATGGTCAAGTTCCTGCGGAATACAGAGCACTCATTGACATCTATTTCGCTCAAGTCAATTCTTATTATCCCCTTCTCAACAAGAGCGATGTGGTGGCTATATATGATGGGCTGCAGGCTGGGAAGGATATCGACCCTGCCCACTATGCTCTACTCATACTTGTTCTTTGCTTTGCATCCTTTCTTTCTCGGGGAGCGAATCTCGTGAGACTTCAAGATGATCGTTCTCGCTTCGATGATCCGGCTGAAGAACAACTCTGGGGGAAGGCCAGATTGCTACTGGGCTTTATCTTTGCCGAGGTGTCGTTAGCTGCAGCCCAATGTGCCATGCTGGCTAGGTGAGTGCGGTCATGTTCATGTTGAAATCAACATACGCTGATGAATGAATCTAGTTTGTATCGTGGCGCCAAGGGTCGAGTAGCAGAGTCGTTTCACTGGTCGCACGCTGCTTCTGTCAAATGCGAAGCTCTCGCGCGGCGATATACTCACGGTCAGCCAGGCTCCGCCATCCCAGATCAGTTTTCCCGACTCTTCTGGATTGCGTTCATCTATGAAGGTGACTTCGTCTCGGAGATTTCAGTAAACCTGCCGTCGGGCATGGCACGATATGAAGAGCTGATTCCATACCCGACAGTTACCAGTACAGCAGATGGGACCAATGGCGCGGCTGATCCGCAACAAGAAGTTGTTGCCTTCCAAATCACGACGAATGCTTCCACGCGCCGTTTCCTCAACCGAGTCAACAGTGCGATATACAACGTCAAGGAGGCGCAGCGCAAGCAACTCGATCGTGGTTCGCACTACCCAGCCTGGCTACTGTCTGTTACCCAAGATCTTTGGTCCCACCACTCAGCGGTTTATAGGAATCTGCCAGAATTTCTGCTACGCACCGAGGCGGACTCTATCATCTCTCCACCGTCCGTTGAGTCGCCCACAGCACGCATTGAAGGCCTGTCGTCCAGGGGCAACAACCCATGGAATATACTGCGCCTCAAGGGTCGTTACTACGCTGGAATGTACATTATCCACAGACCCTTTGTTGAATATGCCCTGCTGAACGTGGATCACCTTGATCAACACCCCTATCGCGAGGCAATCTTGAACAATGCCGCGACTTGCCTAGCCGGCTGCGGTGGGTTCATCCGGGTCTTCGACTACGAACCCGCCAATAGCATATCTTGCCTCTTTGCCACTGGCATGGTGTAGGTTCAGCACACAGAGCGGAATGCGACCGTCTTACTGACCACACTAGGACTTTCGCAATGACACTGATCTTGATGATCGCCACCGTCAGCAGACCATTCGCCAGTGTCCTCCCCGCCGATATTGAGGAATCAATTGTGTTGGGCGTCCGGGATCTGAAGCGCTTCAGCTTGAGCGTGCCGGAGTTTGCCTGGCACTTGCAAGTGCTGGAGAAGATTGAAGTTGCTCGTCGGAACAGGGCTTCACGACAGGGCACAGAGTAAAGACTATAGGCGCGGCAAATGATACAGGTATACCGACTAAATACATCCGAATGCGTACGTCGCCAAGCCAAGGGAGGGTTCAGTATGTCCACGCACATCTCTGGGGGATCTTGGCCTTTGATTGTTTTTGCTGACACATTATAGATCGATCTTGTCGGTTTGGCCATTTATTCTGTTTGGTCATACAAGTCTATGCTGTTACAGCTATCGGCGCCTCCGTTACAACAGCCTTCCTCTTCTCATCCGGGGCCAGCTCGAACACGCCGACGCCGGATACCGACTTGTCCTTGCCAGCATCTTGCGGCTGCTCTTCCTTCTCGGACTCAATGACCTTTCCTTCGAGACGCTTGTCCCCCGCACGCATCGGCGAGTAAAAGCTCAAGAGTTCGTTCAGCTTCTCGCGTTGCATACAGTTCTCATACTTCCAGCTAGCCGCCAACTCGTCGAGCTCCTCGAACGACTTGCCCCTGAAGTATTCAGCCCACTCGGGGATCATGTACTCGGCCATTGTGATACCGCGGATGCCTCGGAATACGTGCATGTGCATACGCCACTGCCAGGGGTACTTCTTGGAGTGCTTCTCCGGGATGTTGTCCTCGAACCACTTGTGCAGCGGCCCAAAGAGCCCTTCCTGGAGGTGTGCATCATCGTACGCCCAGGAATCGACCGCGAGGTCACGCTTCTTCTTGATGATGGGGCCGAGCAGTTTGAGCCAGGCGGATTCGGGGGACAGGTACGTCATGCCCATCACGTTGATATCCTTGTAGGACCAGATTGACCATGCTGTATCCTGTCAGTGGGAGCTAATGGCATTAGGCGACAGCACTCACCGATAGAATCCGCTGTGTAGATGGCCAATTGGCGATCGAGGACGTTATACCGCTCCTCGTTGTGGACCTCCCAGTCTGGATTGAACTCTTCGCGTTCGTAAATTGGCCCGAATTCACCTATTGCTCGTTAGCACAGAGTCTGCCTATGAGTTGGAAACAGCGACTCACCATTCCAGATGGGCACGTTGTGTTGCTTCATGAACGCCGCCTTGCGGTCATACATCTTGCGGATGTACTGGTCCTGCTCCTTATGTCCCTGGTATCGACCGATGCGATTGGGGAAGCCAAAGCCGCAGTAGTCATGAATGGCGTAGACCGAGTTGGGGTACACCTTGTCGAAGCCGGTGAAATCCATGCTAAAGGTGTTTCCCTCCATGAAGAGGATGTGCTCGGGATCGACCGCGCGAATCGCTGGCACGATACGGTCATAAAAGGCGAGAAGGCGGGTCCACTCCGAATCGGCGGGCTCGTTCATGGGGTTGTAGCCAGCAACCCAGGGGTTGCCACGGTAGCGCTTGGCGATATGCTCCCAGAGATTCACTGCACGATCCTGGAAGTGGACGTGGTCCCAGAAGGCGGCGTAGCCCGTTGGGTTGTCACAATGCCAGTCCTGATTCTGACCGCCAGGCAGGGCGTGAATGTCGAGGATGGTGTAGATACCATACTTGGCGCAGAGCTCGACAACACGGTCCACGTGCTCGAAACCTTCTTCCTTGATGACAAAAGGCTTCATGTCGTCCTCGAAATGGTGGTAGTTGAGGGGCAATCGCAGACAGTTGAAGCCCAACGACACGAGAAACTCGGCATCCTTCTCTGTGAAAAAGTATTCGAGGAACTTGTCGAAGAAGAAGTCGGCCTTTTCGCGGCCGAGGACTTTGAGGAGGGCAGCACGGATCTGGTGCTCGCGGCCGGGAAACCCGTTCATGAAGTTCTCCATGAGCATCCATCCGCCCAGGGACGTCTAGGGATTGTCAGTATTGGCAACAAGTTCCGCTTTCAGCGTGGCTTACACCCCGAAGAATGACGACGTCGCCGTTGGCGTCGACGATGCGAGCGCCATCTGTTCGTAGGATACCATTGGACATTATGACGGTAAGGGAGCAAGTCTCGGGATAGCTTGTTGGGTTTGGGACAGCAACAGCGGGGCACCCCTTCTCTCATATACGGCCCGGACGCGTCACGAGACATTCGCGCAACGGGGACCGACAACCCTCAACATGTGGTTCCTGCGTGCCCCATGAACCTGGGCAGAGGTGCATATGTGGAGAGAGAGGGAGGGTGTCATGAGGGCCTCGGGGCTGATCAGGAGCATGCCCCGACGCAGTCGATAGAGGGAGACGCTGCGGCCACCGGGCGGGATGTGGATATGTTTATTCGCTTCTGTGGAGAGTCACTGGCTCTTTGCCAGGCCTTTTCCGCCAGCTTCTGGCTATACCGAAGCAACAACCTCGCCTAAATCAGGCGGTCCAGGCTGTAATTGACTCTCATCAACATTGGGGCTGAGAAGTCGACATTCGAAGTCGAGAGGCACATTCTTCGGAGCCCCCACCCATCGGGGCAATGATTTAGCTGCCCC